TATATGTTCGAAGCGCAGGATTCAGTTTATTTGCTGTTTTTAAGGTTCCGTCGGTCCCATTTCCGTTGCCATTTACGCTGGAGACGCTTTGATGAATTACGCTGGTGGTATCATTGACGCCAGCTGCGATGGCGCTTTGAACCACGGTGTACTGGCCGTCGGTTACGGCGAAAGCCCGAAACCCTACTGGATTGTCAAGAACTCATGGGGTGAAGGCTGGGGAGAACAAGGTTTCTTCAAACTCGCTAGAGCAAACAACCTCTGCGGTATTGCCGACGATGCTTCTTACCCTGTTGTGTAATAAGAAAATAAAAATTGTACCTGATCGTTTATAATATAAGAATATTATTTTATACATTGACTTTTTTTATTATATTATTTAGGTATAATTGTTGCCCTTTTACCCTAAGTAACTTTTTTAATAATTCAAAAACTAAAACATTTTTTGTAACATTTAAAAACTTTCTTTAAAATATGAATCTATGGAGAGATTGGATTCGTTACTGTATTTAATAGAGCTTGAAGGCAAGCGACACCTATAGTTCACCTAATGAAGGTATTAAGGTTTTTCACAATAAATTGAACGACGCATTGATAATAAACGATGTACCAAATAGGAAATCTTCAAAGATAAAACACTTATTATAGTAATGTAAATTAATTGTTTATCGTACAATTGAACATGAGGATTGTGAACATTTTACTTTTCTCTCATTCATTATGTAAGCATCAATTTTCATAAGTTGAGCCGAACATCCTGTTTTCTAGCATAGAATTGACGAAATAAATTGTTATATTACATTTTATAAGATGTAGGTACCCTTTTTTGACTTATAGGTAAAGTAGAAGCGTAGATATAACGGAAAAATGATTTATAAGACAATAGGTTTATAACTACTCCCGGATTTATAACACCCAGTCTTTAGCCGGTTTGTGGCCGGTCGAAGTAACCGAATATTAAATTCTTCAAACTCGTCGATTCTGACACTGAAGCTTTAAGAAATGCCGTTGGTATACAGTGTTAGAAAATTTTTCGCGCATAATAGGGAAATCAATGTTAAATTCTTAGCCGGCTGAAATCCAATCTACCAGTGTACATTTCAATAGAACGTCGCGATCAATTCTAATAAATTTAATTGTTCTACTGGACCGCACGCCGCGATTTGTAGAGGTACAAAGTTATTTGTGTTAGGTATGAGGTACCTACAAAATTATTTAGAAACTACAATTAATAGGTTTTTTTGGGGATATTTCAAAAAAATGTGTGTATCGGTAGGTACAGTTTTGAAATAGCAACAAATCTTGTTAAAATAAGGAAAAATAAGGAAAAAATAATTCAATTTTCTTAAAATTACACCTCAGCTCAGTAATATGAGATGACATCTGTATGACAGGTTTGGCTATTGTTTAGCAGAAAGCGGTGGACTATTTTTTAGAGTTCTTTTATTTTCTATTTTAAAATAATCTTTAAGTTTATTTTTGGAGTATTCTTTTTATTATTTTCTTAGAATTTACTTTCTTTTTCAAGCCATTGTGGCAAAAAGACATATCTACATAATTCTATTTTATTATTAGTGATATTTTTTCAATAAATTATCGTTTAAAAATTCTCAATTCTTTGTAATCGACTCGACGTTCACCCATCCGAACCCGTTTTGATACTGTCGAAGTGTTGAAACCGTCGAAATTATTTGATTTTTAATCTAACCAAGCCAAAGCGCGGTGTGAAGTCCAGTAGAACAATTAAATTTATTAGAATTGATCGCGACGTTCTATTGAAATGTACACTGGTAGATTGGATTTCAGCCGGCTAAGAATTTAACATTGATTTCCCTATTATGGGAAATAAAAATTTTCCAACACGGTATATGAAAATATGGTAACGTTGAAGATTTTTCACAGTTTGATTCTCTTGACGCCAGCGTAGATTTGATGACCTATGAAGGTGGCATTTTTGATGACGATTGCGAGGGAAGAGTTGAGCATGTAGTACTCGCTGTTGGTTGCGGTGAAAACCCGAAACCCTACTGGATTGTCAAGAACTCATGGGGTGATGACTGGGCAGAGAAAGTTTTCTTTAGACAAGCCAGAGCTAATAATCTCTGCGGTGTTGCTAACGATTTAGCTGTTTATCCAATTTATTCCTAAAAATTATTCTCTTCCGATTGATTGCAATTATAATAAATGCGTAGAAACTTTTGAATTTGATTGATCTGTTTTAACCACAATATCCTTTATCTATCAACTAGTTCAAAGCAATTGAATTTGATCGTTGTAAGTGGTGTTTGAAAACACGTTTGCACTAAGATAGATTTTTCAAATTTATTTATCATTCATAGTCGTCAATTTCCGGTATACTTAGAATTTATTGATAAGTAATTGTCTGTAAAAATGTTGTAAATCATCTTGTCTCTAATTTTTTATCAAGATTAGAATTAATAAAGTTTTTTTTTGTTTTAAATCAAAGCATATATCAAAGGTTACGGTAAATCACAACTAAGATGTATTATGATAAATGAAAGATTAATGAAAGTGCAGCAGGAACAGATATAAAAAATATATAAAAGGGAGGATATTTCCTCAGACAACCAAACACGTTCTAGGTAAGTCTAGGTAAACCTGCATTACTTAAAAATTTGAAAATGTATATAAAAAACTTAATTATTTATTAATTGGATTTATTTTGAATTTCAGAAAAATGAAAACCTTCATCGTTTTAGCTGCTACCATTTTGGCCGTTAGCGCCTTGTCTCTACATGAACAATGGGCCGACTTTAAGGTAAAATTTTAGATTAAAGATCAAATAGTTAAGCTTCTTATATAATTAATGTTATTTACTCGTATTAGGTCAAACATGGTAAATCTTACAAAAACATCGCCGAAGAGACAGCTCGTTTCGAAATCTTCCAACAGACCCTCAAGAAAATCGAAGAACACAATGCCAAATACGAAGCAGGTTTGTCGGGCTTTTGGATGGGAGTCACCAAATTCTCTGACATGACCAGCGAAGAATTCCAAGCCATGATGAACAAACAAATGGCCAGCATGCCAAAAATCGAAGGCGAACAACACGTTCCTTTTGAAGTTGAACCAGAAGAAATCGATTGGAGGGAGAAAGGTGCCGTATTAGAAGTCAAAAATCAGGGTGGTTGCGGATCCTGCTGGGCTTTCAGTACAGTAAGTGTTGAAACATTTGTATGTTTTTAACTGAACACGTTATCAATTATCCGAGAGCTTACTACAAAAAAGTTTCTTTAAATTGTTTTTACATTTTCATTAGTTACCTACGTATTTTAGTCTGGTCAATCTAGACAATCGTTATATTTCAGAAACGGTGGCTCTTAGGAAAAAAAGTAATAATGTATTTTTGATAGATTACATGATCTGCAGTTTTTCACTGAAATAATTGAAGACATAACTTACATTTTTTCTAAAAATCGCGAAAAGCTCAATTGAAACCTTTGAACATGCGTAATTTTTTTTCCACAGATCGGATCGATAAGGACTTTTTAAATTTTATTTATAATTATGTTTTAAACAATTTTACCAACTTTTAGTTTTTTGAATTTTTTTTTACTTTAACTCTTATTTTATGTTCTAATTTGACCGGACTATTTACTAATTTACAGACTGGTGGTTTGGAAGGACAGAATGCCATTAAAAATGACAAAAGGGTATCTCTTAGTGAACAACAATTAGTGGATTGCTCTAGAAATGAAATAAATGAAGGTTGCGACGGTGGTGTTATGCAAGTCGCTTTAGAATACGTCATTGAACACGGAATCGAGTCCGAAGCGTCCTACCCATACGTAGCAGATGACATGTCTTGCAGTGCCAAACCCAGTAAAACCGTTTTGAAAATTAAATCCTACAAACTTGTCAATAATAGCACTGAAGCTTTGAAGAATGCCGTTGGTAAATATAAAAAATCTGCTAACGTTGAATAACATTTTTTACAGTATGATTGTTATTTAAGGTACCGTGGGTCCAATTTCGGTAGCTCTTCACGCTGGTGATGAATTGCAGAACTACGCAGGTGGTATTATTGACCGCAACTGCGACGGACGAATTAACCATGGTGTATTGGCTGTTGGTTACGGCGAAAGCCCACAACCCTACTGGATTATCAAGAACTCGTGGGGCGCTGACTTTGGAGAAAATGGTTACTTTAAACTCGCCAGAGCTGACAATCGCTGCGGTATTGCTAACGATTTTGCTGTTTATCCAATTTTATCCTAAAAATTATTCTCTTACGATTGATTGCAATTATAATAAATGCGTAGATTCTTTTGAATTTTATTGATTTGTTTTATCTACAATATCCTTTGTCTATCAACTAGTTCAAAGCAATTGAGTTTGATCGTTGTAAGTGGTGTTTGAAAAGACGTTTGCACTAAGGTAGATTTTTCAAATTTATTTATCAGTCATTGTCGTCAATTATAGGTTGTCTTAGAATTTATAGATAAGGAAATATTGTCTGAAAAACTTTTGTAAATCATCTTGTCTCTAATTTTTTATCAAGATTGGAAATCATTGATTGGAATTCAACTCATAAAGTTTAATTCACAGCGACATTTCTTTTTCTTGGTCATCTTGAAACTTGTTGAAATAATACTGTAATTTGTTTTAGAATATATTTGGTAAAAATAAATAATAAAAAATATAAACAATAAATTAGCAACAATGATTAAAAAAGATTGAGAATCATAATAGTAAAATTGGTACTTCAAATATTTTTTATAAAATGGGTTCATTTTAATATCATGCGATTAACCTCCCTATCTTGCAAATGATAATTTCTCTTTTTATGAAAATACTGTCAAGTGTTGATGTTATCTTAAGTCTACATACAAATTATATAAAAGACAGACATTTCTTTTCGCAGTATCAATTTTTGTTCTAGATAAGTAAGTATATTTAAAGTCAGTAATTTAAAATTCTCAAAAAAACATTTTTTCAAAATATTTTTTATTAAATGAATTTATTCCAATTTCAGAAAAATGAAAACCTTCATCGTTTTAGCTGCTACTATTTTGGCCGTTAGCGCCTTGTCTCTACATGAGCAATGGGCAGACTTTAAGGTAAAATTATTATTAAAACTCAGATAGTTTAGCTTCTTATATAATTAATGTTATTTACTCGTATTAGGTCAAACATGGTAAATCTTACAAAAACATCGCCGAAGAGACAGCTCGTTTCGAAATCTTCCAACAGACCCTCAAGAAAATCGAAGAACACAATGCCAAATACGAAGCCGGTTTGTCCAGCTTCTGGATGGGAGTCACCAAATTCTCTGACATGACCAGCGAAGAATTCCAAGCCATGATGAACAAACAAATTGCCAGCATGCCAAAAATCGAAGGCGAACAACACGTTCCTTTTGAAGCTGAACCAGAAGAAATCGATTGGAGAAAGAAAGGTGCCGTATTAGAAGTCAAAGATCAAGGTCAATGCGGATCCTGCTGGGCTTTCAGTACAGTAAGTATTGAAACATTTCTGTTTTTATTTAAACACGTTATCAATTATCCGAGTACCTACTACAAAAAAGTTTATTTAAATTGTTTCTACATTTTTGTTATTTACCCACATTTTTACAAATTTACAGACTGGTGGTTTGGAAGGACAGAATGCCATCAAAAACGGCAAAAAGGTATCTCTCAGTGAACAACAGCTTTTGGATTGCTCTGGAAGTTACGGAAATGGTGATTGTGACGAAGGTGGTGTTATGGAATACGGTTTAGAATACGTCCGTGATCACGGAATCGAGTCCGAAGCGTCTTACCCATACGTGGCAGATAAGATGTCTTGCAAGGCCAAACCCAACAAAACCGTTTTGAAAATTAAATCCTTTAAACTCGTCGAAGCTAGCACTGAAGCTTTGAAGAATGCCGTGGGTAAATATAAAAAAACCTAGTAACGTTGAATAAGAATTACAATTTGATTGTTATTTAAGGTACCGTTGGTCCAATTTCGGTAGCTCTTTACGCTGGTGAAGAATTGCAGAATTACGCAGGTGGTATTATTGACCGCAACTGCGCCGGACAAATTAACCATGGAGTATTGGCTGTTGGTTACGGCGAAAGCCCACAACCCTACTGGATTGTCAAGAACTCATGGGGCGCCGACTGGGGAGAGAATGGTTCCTTCAGACTCTCCAGAGCTAACAATCTCTGCAGTATTGCGAACGATATGGCTATTTACCCAGTTTTGCATTAAAAATGATATAAAATTAAAAATTATAACCCTATGATTGATATAGACTTTAAACTATAATAAATGCGTAATATTGTTAATTTTCATATCTACTGTTTTGCATCTACAATCCTTTACCCAGTTTAGTGACAAAGCGATTAAATTAATTCCTCATACGATGTTTGAAAATTTGCTCCTGTTTTGATTGATTTTTTAAAATTTATTCGTTGTCAATTAATAATATTTGATAAGTATCGTCTGTAAATTTCGTAAAGTTAATTGTTTGTTAATTTTGTATCATGATAAGATCATTTATCTTAACAACTCTTATTGAAATTTCATAAGTTTCATGTTATTTCAAAACTCGTAATTAGGTATTGCGAATTTAAGAAATCCAGATATTACTTATTTGAATATTAATCTATGGTAATGTGCCACTTGAAATTAGATATGCATTCTAACAACTTAATTTTTTCTGCTAAACTAGTAAAATCCTTTGATGTTTGTTTGTTTATTTGTTTGTTCATTTAGGACCCCATTTTGAGACCCCATTTTTGAGACCCAATTTTTAACTGTAAAGGCCTCTAGCTCAAAAATGGGGGCTTAAATGAAGAAAATCTATACAAATGTATACCCTTATTTTGATTTCATTTATACGATCACGAATTATTGCCATCTATATATATTCTGGACGCCCAGTGTCTGTAATAATACTTTATAAAATAATAATACTGTTTAGAAATGCACAATGTACCTAGTATTAAAACAACTTGACTAGTTAGTTGCGAAACTAACCAGGGTTCAATTTAATATCATCTGATTAATCCCACTATCTTTAATGCTTTTTTTTTTCTTTTCTTGGAAATATCGTTGAGTGTTGATTGTTGATTGTTGCTATTATCTTAACACTATGGATAATGCCTATATAAAAGTCGCATCATTTTTGCCACTGTATCAATTTTGTTCTAAATCTTTCTGGATAAGTGAGTATATTTTAAATCTATAATATTCAAAAGTTTTTGCACTATTGTTTTTAATGAATTAATTTCGAATTCCAGCAAAATGAAATCCTTCATCGTTTTAGCTGCTACCATTTTGGCCGTTAGCGCCTTGTCTCTACATGAGCAATGGGCGGACTTTAAGGTAAAATTCATTATTAAAAGTCAGATAGTTTAGCTTCTTATATTATTAATATTATTTATTAGGTCAAACACGGTAAATCTTACAAAAACATCGCCGAAGAGACCGCTCGTTTCGAAATCTTCCAACAGACCCTCAAGAAAATCGAAGAACACAATGCCAAATACGAAGCCGGTTTGTCTAGCTTCTGGATGGGAGTCACCAAATTCGCTGACATGACCAGCGAAGAATTCCAAGCCATGATGAGCAAACAAATTATCAGCATGCCAAAAATCGAAGGCGAACGCCACGTTCCTTTCGAAGTTGAACCAGAAGAAATCGATTGGAGGGAGAAAGGCGCCGTATTAGAAGTCAAAGATCAGGGTCAATGCGGATCCTGCTGGGCGTTCAGTACAGTAAGTATTGATACATTTGTTTGTCTTTAATTAAGCATATTATTCGAGTATTAGGTACAAATGAGTCGATTCAATTTTTTTGTTACATTTCCTTTACTAACTTATCTACCTACTTTCCAATTCACAGACTGGTAGTTTGGAAGGGCAAAACGCCATTATAAATGGCAAGAATATAACTCTCAGTGAACAACAATTAGTAGATTGCTCTGGAAGTTACGGCAACGGTGGTTGCAATGGTGGTGCTATGGTATACGGTTTGGAATATGTTCGTGACCACGGAATCGAGTCCGAAGACTCTTATCCATACGAAGCCAAACAGGGTGATTGCAAAGCTGATCCCAACAAAAGCGTTTTGAAAATTAAATCCTTCAAACTCGTCGATGTTAGCACTGAAGCTTTGAAGAATGCCGTTGGTAAATATTAAAAATTTAGTAAGGTTGAATAAGAATTTTTATAATTTTGTTGTGGTTTTAGGCACTGTGGGTCCAATTTCGGTAGGTCTTTCCTCTAGTGGATTGCAGAACTACGCAGGTGGTATTATTGACCAAAATTGCCAAGGACAAGTTGACCATGCAGTACTCGCTGTTGGTTATGGTGAAAGTCCACTACCCTACTGGATTATCAAGAACTCATGGGGAAAGGGCTGGGGAGAGAATGGCTTCTTTAGACTCGCCAGAGCGAACAATCTCTGCACTATTTCTAACACTATGGCTGTTTATCCAATTTTGGAATAAAATTATAACCCTACGATTGATACATCGTCGATAGGCTCTAAACTATAATAAATGCGTACTAATATTGTTAATTTTAATACTGTTTTGTATCAACAATATACCCATTACCCAGTTTGTTATCAATGCAATTGAATTAATTCCAGATACTGTATTTGAAAATTTGCTTATGTTTTGGTTGATTTTTCGAATTTATTTCTTGGATATTGTCGTCAATTATGCAATTGAATTCAATAGAATTTATATTCAATATGCAGTATTATCTGTAAATTATGTAACTTGTTTGTTAATTTTCTTTCACGAGATTACAGGATAAGATCTTTTATCACAACAACTCAAATCACAACTGATATTTCATCATATAAAGTTTTATTTTATTTCAAAATTCGTATGATTACGAATTTAAGAAAGCCAGACACCTATTTGAATATTAATGTAAATAGTAGGTATACTATATATACCAAATTGACATTATAATTAAAATTAAAATTAGAATAGTAACAACTAGATGGCTATAGTTTAATGTCATATGTATATTTGTAATAATACTTTAAAAAATAACAATTCTCTATAAAAATGTACCAAACAGTATTAAAATAACTATGTAATATGTATAATTTAAATTCACATGAAAATTAATTTCTTATCACTTAATTATAGTATTGTAAGATCCTATATGTGATATGAAAACATCAATTTTTAAAAATTGAATATTTTTTGAATAATTGAACATCCATTTTTCTATAGCATGAAATTTACAAAATAAAGTCATATAATTTTCTAATTTTGTTTGTCGTATTACATTTTTTTATGTTGATGCAAGGTGCTTCAAGTATTTTTTTTACAAAATTAGGTTTATTTTAATATCTTCAGGTTTTTCCCACTATCTTAACTGCATTTTACTCTTCATAGAAATACCGTTGAGTGTTGATATGTGCTATCATAATCCTATCCATATATAAATCCTATCCATATTTAAATATCGGGTCATTTTTGTTACTTTACAGTTTTTGTTTTAAAAATTCTCTGAATAAGTTATTTTTGTGGATATATTAAATTCTAAAAAATAGGTAAGTTTGAAATTTTCAACAGTCTTTCTATTTCTGTCTTTAATGAATTAATTTTGAATTTCAGAATAATGAAAACATTCATCGTTTTAGCTGCTACCATTTTGGCCGTTAGCGCATTATCTCTACATGAACAATGGGCGGACTTTAAGGTGAAATTCATTATTAAAACTCAGATAGTTTAGCTTCTTATATTATTAATTTTATTTATTAGGCCAAACACGGTAAATCTTACAAAAACATCGCCGAAGAGACAGCTCGTTTCGAAATCTTCCAGCAGTCCCTTAAGACAATCGAAGAACACAATGCCAAATACGAAGCCGGTTTGTCCAGCTTCTGGATGGGAGTCAACCAATTCTCTGACATGACCAGCGAAGAATTCCAAGCCATGATGAACAAACAAATGGCCAGCATGCCAAAAATCGAAGGCGAACGCCACGTTCCTTTCGAAGTTGAACCAGAAGAAATCGATTGGAGGGAGAAAGGTGCCGTATTAGAAGTCAAAGATCAGGGTCATTGCGGATCTTGCTGGGCCTTCAGTACAGTAAGTATTGATACATCTGTTTGTCCTTAACTAAACATATTATCCGAATATGTTTCCTACTTGCCAATTTACAGACTGGTGGTTTGGAAGGACAAAATGCCATCAAACACGGCAAGAATATAACTCTCAGTGAACAACAATTAGTGGATTGTTCTGCAAGATACGGCAACTATGATTGCATTGGTGGTTATATGCAATACGCTTTAGAATATGTTCGTGCCCACGGAATCGAGTCCGAAGACTCTTACCCGTACGTAGGCAAATTGACTTCTTGCAAACCCAAACCCGTTAAAAGGTTAAAAATTAAATCCTACAAACTCGTAGATGATAACACTGAAGCTTTGAAGAATGCCGTTGGTAAATATAAAAAATCTGGTAAAGTTGATTAAGAATTTCTACAGTATGATTGTTATTTAAGGTACCGTTGGTCCCATTTCGGTAGCTCTTCACGCTGGCAAAAAATTGCAGCACTACAAAGGTGGTATTTTTGACGACAGCTGCGACGGAGTTATAAACCATGGAGTATTGGCTGTTGGTTACGGTGAAAGCCCGAAACCCTTCTGGATTATCAAAAACTCATGGGGCACCAGCTGGGGAGAGGACGGTTTCTTTAGACTCGCCAGAGCGAACAATCTCTGCACGATTGCTAACCTTCTCTCAGTCTATCCAATTTTGCATTAAAAATTGTAACCTTACGATTGATGACTGATTGATGTATGACTTATAATTTAAAATAAATGAGTAATATTCTCTTAATTTTCTATAGTTTATTATTAAAGCAATTGAATTAATTCCATGTAATTGGTATTTGAAAATTTGTTTCTGTCTTGGTAGATTTTTTAAATTTATTTTTGGGTACTTTTTAATTTTTTTTTCAAGATTGATCAAGATATTATCGTAATATCCGTCGATAAATTTTCTACTATGATAGGTTTTTCCCATTTATTTGTCAGCCATTGTGGCCAATAGGTATCTAATAGATAAAAAATCGATAAAAATCATTTGTGAATTTTATAAATCAACTTGACTATTTTTTAACAAGATTTATCGTAACAACGTATCGAATCGTAATTATTTATCGTAACATCTCTCATTGAAAATACACAAAGTTTTATTGTATTCTAAAACTAATAATCATTGCGAAATGTAAAAAACCCACTTATTATTTGAATAATCTATTAGGTATTAATGTGCAATCGTTATTATAATTAAAAATACACAAAAATTTTAGTAACATGTATTCTATTTCACCATTTAAAACTGGTTAAAATAATACTGCAAATCGTTTTAGAAAGTATTTAATGAAAACAAATAACAAAAAACAATATTAACAATAAATTAGAAACAAAGTGTAATCATTAAAAAGATCGAGTTCATAAACCTGACTGTCGATTTAGCCCCAATTCCCCAAATCAATATCAAATTTGTACGGTATTTTTAGCAGTATTTAACCAACCGTGGATCACTTAATCGACAATCAAACATTTTATGCACCTCTGAGTATACAACAAAAAGTATACAATAATGTCGAATTAAAATTCCAACATATCTTATCGATGACAATTTCTCCAATTCCTACATTTTAGACGAAGTTATTTTCTCGATACCCACAACACCGTTCCCCCGCATCTTCTCGGCCTTTTTCACCCCCTGGCTGGGCACGAATTCGTGCAAATTCAAATCTCGGAATTTTCCATCGAAAACGCTGTTATATTCCGGCCTTTGAGCGACTTGTAGCGGTTTGAGCGGAGCCCCAAAGAGCGCGCTCAGCTGCCCCTTGATCTTCTCCTGTTGCTCGGGGGAGAAGTTCTCGAATCCAGTGATGAGAGGAGGCAACGATTCGCGGGGAGAAGAGTACTGGGGATAATCCACGTGCTTCCATTCTGAGTCGATCTGTTGTTGTTGTTGTTGGGGTTGTTGTTGTTGTTGATGGTGATGATTGGGTGTAGGAATTTGAACTGGTACTGATATGGGTATCATTTTGGTTTGATATTGAGCCGAGGAGGGCAGAAGGGGTTGGTTGTATGATTGTACAGCTTGAGAGGCTTCCATTGCTTGGGGTTGGTAGTATTGTTGGGGGGTCGAGTGCAAGAATTGGTATCTGAAAATTTGGGGGGTTTAATTTATAGTAGTAATGCACCTGTTATTTAAGGGTAGATTTATTGATGGTCAGTTGAAAATTGTTCTTAGATATATTACAAGTTGAATGGACTAATAGCAATTTATAATAAGTTTATTTTTTTACAGTATATTTGTTTTATCAAAAATTTTCATAAACCATAATTCCCCTTATTTATGAAGTAACTAGGTATGAAGATCCTGGTGATAGGTATAATTTGTCATTCCTATTCATTAAGATTTAATTAGTGATACATTCGGAAACGCCTCGATTAAAATCCGCCGTACCGATTAAAAGAGATTGTTCGAAATTAGTTTAGTTTTTTTTCCGTTTTTGCCGAAACGGAGATTGTAAATCTGAGATGAAAGAGAAATTTCTCAAGTACGTACACTTTTACTCTACGACGTTTTTTACCTTGACCAAGGCGAGGTGAGTGTCTTTTGAAAGGGCAAAAAATTCCTCACTTTAGATCACTTGCAATTGAAAGTGTAACGGGTCAACGACTTAACTCACTTGTACAAATAAAAGTAAAAACTTCACTACTTACATTCCTGGGAATACATTTGTCATAGCTTTTCATTATTATAATTACACTGGACAAATATATACAGGGTGAATCTCGGAAACTGTACCAAATAGACCGTAATTGTTGATTTTAAAAGAAAATGTATAAAGTACTTTACCTGGCCTGTGGATTACTGTGGAAATAATCCAGTAATTGCTGGGCGGCTCCATTTTGCCCAACACTCTGTGTTGGAAGATAAGCCGGTTGGGCGATAATAATCATAGCTGTAGGCTGGTTACTTTGCTGGGTGGTGTGCAATATCTTCTGAATCAACTGCAGTATCTGATATTGCGATTGAGGGTGCAGTTGGTTGTGCACCGGCACCTCCGAATCATGCATCTACATTAAGGTATACATTTTCGTCAAATAAAATAAATAAACTCCAGTAACATCTACTGAGGATATCACGAGAAATTTCTACTACAGTTAACTTACCAAAGGCGGTTGGAACTGCGTAGGTTGCAGAAGAACCGATTGAGAAAGGGCCGGAAAAGGTCGATTGGCATATTGTTGGTAATACGAAGGTTTGTCCGTTTGGAATTGATGGGAAATTGACTCCGGTTTAGCGGTGGTGGAAATTGCGTTTAATTTCTGCGAGAAAAGCGTCTTGGCTGTGGCCCGTTCAGTTAACGAAACGGCTATTAGCATGAGCAACTGGCGAATAAAAATTGTTGGTTATAAATTTGTATCCGTGTATTTTTTTGTTATAAATCGTCGATTAATTTTTTATGTATTCCTACCTAACAGGTTCAAACTTCAACTTCCTTTCGAAACGTTTATCTAGATGCTAGGCATCATTGAGAAGAAAGTGTTCTAGGATGATTTATTATAATTATGTCGTAATCTCGATTAATTTTAGTGTGTAGGTAATCATTTAGGTAATCGTAAAAGAAAAAGGAAATTCCATCATTCAAATTGTTTTAGGTGAAACGGAATGTGAATCTTTTTAAAACAGATTCGTATAATTTTTTATATCGAAATATTTATAGGTATACCTATTAGACGTCAAGAAATTAATTGTTCATTAAACTCGACTTTTAAATGTTGTTAAATAATTGCTCGGTAATTAATTTAGAAATTTAATCTAGTGAGTAAAATTAAAAACGTTATTTAATGAAGACACGCACTTTATTTACACGAAAGGTTTCATGTCAACATGTGTCTTATGAAATTAATTAAAGTTAAACATCAAACATTTCGCGAGTATAGAATGTAGAAAATGTAAGAGATGATTCCTTGGTAAAAATTGTGTGTAATTTTCATTAATAAATTACGTGTTGATGTTCTATAAGTCATTAAGAAATACCCAATAAGCGACGATTTTTACTATTTGGTATATCAAAATTCCGAATATTTTTTATACTTTTTTGATATTGTGGAGAATAATTATCCTCTTTTTAGAGCAATTTGTCACAGGTAAATTTCACACACGTTGGTCGAGAAAATTATTTCTTTTCCATTAATTATACTTTTTTATTTAATTGGTCGAATTTGAAAGGATTGACGCGTGAACGGATTTCAATAAAATGACTATCCTTTAATTGCAGAATCTTTCTACCACTTATTTATGTCCACTTAATAAGAAGGAAAGTAAGTAGATTGGACAATATTAACAGAGCATTTCAATGAAATTAATTACCCGCAGGTATTATCTGCTTGATATGTAGTATATACCTGCAGAAAAATGAATATTACTTGAAAGTACTTATCTGGATTAAATACATTTTTTTAGTATCTTCAGTAATAAATCAACAAAAATCATTAAAATTATTATTCCAAAAAAATATTTTTTTAAATTCAAAATTTTATTAATATGTCATCCATTTGTTATTTAGAAAAACTATTTAATTTCTCAAAAAAAATTTTTTTGAATGCTCTAATTAATTAGTAAGTACCTAATATTGTTATATTGAGAATAATGTTAAAAATTGTCTCAAAAAGGGTGATGCTTAAAAAATCTGCAATCTTATCCTTTTGAATAAACCAAAAAAATACTAAAGATAAAAATTTCATTGCTATATACTTTTACTAATTCTTTTGGAAATTGAGGGGTGTCGCTTGATTAACTCTCCCTTCATTTCAAATTTAAATAATGAAATAAATGCTATTAAAATGAGACAAATAAATCAACAAAAGTACCTACCATCAACGGTGAAATTTCCATTTCAAAACGCACTTTATTACCAGCGATCTTCGACCGAATTACTCTCACTTTATGTGGAAATGTTGCGAATGCGAGCTATTGCTATGTCGCTCTTCTATTTATAGAATGCAGAGTACCTAGGTACTCTTCGGATAGTCATCAATTCGACAGGCACAAACTATTCTACGTTCAAGTTGCTGGACAATTTTCCCCTTTCATATTTCGCGAATAAGATTTCGATTTTTAAGGAAATATTGATCAAGTCGAGCTCGCCCAGTAAGCGAAGTCTTGGGTGGATTATTATTTTCTGCGGTTGCAAAGTTTAATAAATATACAGATATTGTACTAATTATTTTATTACAAACTTTTCCTTTTTTTTTTCCAAGTCATCGGCCATCAGATTCTGGATTCTCTTCCGAATAAAACATGACAGTGGTCTCGTGGGAACCTTTGGGCAACACGTAATAACTTGTCGAGCCATTTGTTCGACGCATTCTTATCCAATCGTGCCGGTTTTGATTGGTTTTAGTCTGGTTTTGATCACGCTCCAATCTTAATCCATCCCGACGATTCTGCTGTGATTCGGGAAGACTACAAACAACGTTACCTAAGAAGCAAAATATTAGTTTTATTCTACCAAGATGTAAACTAGTCACTCAAAGTATTCCTGGCTTTGAAGAATAATGTAAGTTCTAATTGGTTTACTCACTGATGATATTTTCTAACAAAACAGTGCGAAATCGATGGGAAATTTCGCAGCGACAAATCGGACAGTTCTGCATCTTAGAGGTCCATTTGTTGATGCAATACTCGCAGAATGTGTGGGAACAATTCAGGGTTATTGGTTTTATTAGAATTTCAGAACAAATCGGACATCGGAGATCATCTTCTATATGACGATAGGAAATATTGTTCAAGGGATTTTTCTCGAATTTCATGATTGGCATTGGATTATTTGATGACTTGTTTTTTATATGTACGATCGAAGATTAGCTGTAACATTGTGTTTTTTTCTGTTTTTGTTCCATTATGGTTTCTGTATGCATACTGAAAAATTGACTTTTTTTTGAATAATGACATGCACTTACAATAAGCATACATCAAACACAATATTAAAATTCCACCAGCAAAATATCAAGAGAGTAACTATTTCGAGATGTATTTTACAATAATTAGTTTTATTAACCAATATCTATGGTTTTTATATTTGTTTATTTGTGTGTCACAATTAAAATTCAATCAAAAAATTTCCTGTCCAAATTAAACTCATACATTCAAAATTCCTGTGTTCGTCAAACGACAAAAAAAACCATTATAAATAATTTCGAAGCAACGATTACGTTTCTAAACATTCGCGATATTCTAATATTGCCGCACAAATATCGAAGGAAGAAATAGAACTGGAAGAAAAGGAAGAAACAAATCCGTGTAAAGTGACGTGTGCGCAAGTGAAAATGGACGTGTCGCGGCGAATTTTCGAGGAAAATTTACCGGAAATTTTGCCGATTTTAGCTCATGAGTCTCCTGAAGCAGGTACTTGTATAGTGCGAGTCATTAAATATACAGAAATTTCTCAACATTTTTAATTTTCTAGCAATTTTGAAAAATTCTGTCGTAACCGATTTTGACGATGCCCGTGTGAATAAAAATGAAGTGAACGTGTATCCTCACAATAACGAAAAAGAAATAATTACAAAAAGGCAATCCAGAAATGGATAGTAAGCACCTCCCATGATTTTTTATATTTTAATATTGACATTTTCATTTATATTTGTGTCCTCTTTCAGCCACCCAATCGACTGCGGGTGCCCAGAATGCCTTTACATGCCGTTGGTGCGCGAATTGGCCTCCACCAAAGAGTTTTTCTTCGTCGCCGAAGAGCCCAAGTTCGTCTACACGTTGTCGCCCTGCTCCTGTCCCAATTCGAAGAAGGCCTCGAAGATTCCGGTGGCGAAAGGGACGAAAGGCCCCTCCGGAAAGGACGATTGCATTTGCGGGGACGTGTGCAAGTGCCGGCCCTGTCCCGACGTCGACAGGCAATCGCCGAAGTCCCCCAAATCGGACCGACCCGTTAAGAAGGACACCGACTTGTCGAAGCTCTGCGACTGCGGGAAATGCGATTGCCCCATTTGCGCGAAATCAAAAGGATCTTCAAAACGTACGTATTCATCTTCCTAAAATGCCTTTATCTAAACCCGTGCAGGAAAAGTTTTAAAGCAAAGTCTCGCCTACTTGCAGCTTGTTGTTGTACGAGCGATTGCGTATGCGATCAATGCAAAATCGAAATGATGAAGAAGCAAATCGACAAATTGAAGAACGATTTGAATGATTTGAGGGGCGTTAGCGAAAAACCGGATTTGGGATATCCCGACGGGTGTACTTGCGACATCTGTAATTGTCCCCTGCCCCCCGGCGAGGACCCGCGCAGAGAACAACCCGAAGATTGTACCTGCACCATTTGCGATTGTCCCTTAGCTCCCGGAAGGGTAAGTAGCATCTTAACGATCCTTAAACCTAAAACACCCTATATACGAACGATATTTCAGGCCGGCGATATGAGCGGTTGCGAATGCCAAGATTGCTACTGTCCAAAGGGACCGAGATTCCAAAAGCCCACCATCAAACTTCCCGTGGATATGACCGGTTGCAGTTGCAATCCCTGCCTGTGTCCCGGCGGACCGTTGTCCATATTTCCCAAATGCGATTGCAAAAAGTGCGAATGCAACCCCTGCAGCGATCCGAGGCGACCCAAACCGGTGGAATGCGATTGCGATCCCTGCGAGTGCTCCCCCTGCGGCGACACCAAGAAGGAGATGAGAAAATGGGAGGTTACGTGCAAGTGCACCGATTGCCAGTAAGTAAATGCTTCGCGATTTCCAAACTCCCTCAGATACATAACTAACATTTTTCGGTTTTTTTCATACAATATCAACAAAATTCCAGGTGCTCCGGTTTGAAGTCGACCGATTGCACGTGCTTGACGTGCGTGTGCGGCAAACACCCGCCCGATTGCGAATGCCCCCAATGCGTTTGCGCTCGAGAAGAGAAACCGCCGAACTGCAAGTGCCCCGTGTGCGCTTGCGGTACCAAATTCGAGGAGATGTCGCCCGCTTGCGTATGCGACAAGTGCAAATGCGGCGGGCCCAAGCGCAAGGACGCGGAAGTTAAGAAGGTAAGACCAATTGGTCACTAATTGACCAATAATTGGTCACTAATTAGGTCAATAATGCCCGGTTGCACCAATATATCGTAGGCTATATTTTATCTAAGTCTGACTTAAATGTGTGATCTACTTAAGATTGGAATATGTTGCACCATGTTCAAAAGAGGCTACTTTTCATTTTAACTTAGATAACAACTGGCAACGTAGCAATATTGTTGAAAAACTTTAAAGGAAGGAGATGATTGTCATTTTAAGTGTCAAAATAACCTATTAGTAGTTAAGACCAGTGAAAAAAGATCAAAAGAAGAAGAAGAAGTTGTGGTTTTAACTTATCCTGTAACCTGTAACCTAAAAATTAGTACATTCATAATTCAATTTTGAATAATAATTCAAAATAATTAGTTCTTATTCGAATTTGTCGTTGTATAGGAACATCTACCACATTAATTTCTTCCTCTACATCATCTATTCCTCTACATTAACCACAATGTTTATATCTGCATTTATATCCATAATTTTACAACTATCTCGACAATTATCAAATTTTTGAGTATTTTTGAGTTTGAATTTTGTCGTAGAAGTCGTAGAAATTGACAACCTAGGATCTTTGATCGATTACTATCACAGGAAAGAGATTTTTAGTTGGTGCAACAGTATAAAATTGATTCTAGACTTAGGTCTGACTTAGAATAGGAATTCATCATAGGATGCTTTGATGGAATTGGGCATAAACATTAATGTTAGTTAAGTGTTAATTGGCTCTATGGTTTTTAGGACGAGCACGAGAAGAAACGCATGGACTTCGTGAAGAGATCGGTGAGCTCGCACGCCATCAATTGCACTTGCCCGGTGTGCCTGTGCTTCCAAAGAGCCTCGGGCGGCGCGAAAATGTGCACGTGCGAACCGCCGTGCAAGTGCAAAGAGTGCATATTCAAGGTGTTCAAATCGGACGCCCATCCGCCGGATTGCGAATGTCCCAAATGCAAGTGCAAGGAATGCCAAATGTCTTCGGGGCCGACTTGCCGCTGTCCCGAGTGCATTTGCAAGCCGTGCAAGCACATAACGGCCGGCGAGAAGAAGCGCGCTGACAACTGCAAATGCGGCGACATTTGCAGCTGCAAGGAGTGCGTGCCGAAGCCGCCGCCGCCCGCCCCCAAGGGCCCCAAAGCCAACCTGCCGAAGTCGCGCAGTTGCCATTGCTTGGAGTGCTTCTGCGACGCGTGCAACAATCCGGCCAAGAAGGGCGCGGACGCGCGACCCGTGCTGAAGATAAAGGGGGCCGAACAGAAGCCGGCGGCGAAGAAAGAGGAACCGTTTACGCCCAAAGAGGTGGAGGAGGATTTGACGTGCAAATGCGAGCCGTGCAATTGCAAGGACTGCACGTTCTTCGGCTCGAGGAATCCGAATTGCAAATGCGGGAAGACCTGCTTGTGCGTGCCGTGCGAGCCGCCGCCGGCGCCGAAGAAGAAGGACGCTGGCAGCGGCAGCGACGATGCGGCCAACAAATGCCATTGCAAAGAATGCCAATGTCCCGAGTGCGAAAAGAAGAAGAGCGCCGGCGAGACCACCTCGAGAATCCCCTGCAATTGCACCGAATGCACTTGCGCCGTTTGCGAGAAGAAAGGCGAGAAAAAAGGCGGCGACAAAAAGGAGGAAAAGAGAGACGGCCCGCCTTGCGCTTGCAAGACGTGCAAATGCCCCGAATGCGAAAGAGGCGGCGATAAGAAAGGCGGCGACAAGAAGGGCGGCGAAAAGAAGTCGCGCATCCCGTGCAATTGCACCGATTGCATTTGCGCCGTGTGCGAGAAGAAGAGCGAGAAAAAGGGCGATAAACCGGCCGCGAAGCCGGGCGATAACAAATGCGAACCCGCGTGCCCTGGCGTGGAGAAGGGAAGCGGCGGCGGCGGCGGAGGTGGAGGCGGCGGCGGCGGCGGCGGCTTCGAAGTACCCAAGCGAATGCCCTGCCAATGCAAGGAGTGCAAATGCGCCATTTGCGATAAGAAGAAAGACGCCGGCAAAGACGACCCGTGCGGCGGATTAGCATTGAGAGGTGGAAGCGGCGGATTGTGCCTGTTACCTAAATTAAAAGAGAGCGAACCGCCGCCGTTCGAACCACCGATTAGAATACCCTGTACCTGCAACCCCTGCAAATGCGTGATGTGCAACAAAATGGGCGGTAAGAAGGAGAGCGCCGTCAGCGCCAATCCCATTACCAATTCGGCGGAAATTCAAGTGCAATGCAAAACTCAATCTACCTCTAGCATTCTACCAATGTATTCCTGCGCCTCTTGTACCAGCGATACCTCACTGAACGGCAAGGAGTGCAGTTGCTCTTTGTGCGCGGAAAAACTGAGCGGAATCCACACTAAAGTCGGAGACGTTAGGAGCACTCACAACGTTAACATTGGAGTCACATTGAGCACACACAGCAAATCCACCAGCTGCGTTTGCACCACCACCAAGAACGCCAAAGTCGGTGAATCCGAGAACAGATTCGGCGCCTGCAGGAGCGTGGAATTGAACGTATTAAATTTCGCCGACATGGACAATACCACTCTAGTCAAAAATATCGTCGACAGATCGAAAGAGAGCGTGTTTTGCAAGAACCAAATGCACGAAATCCAATCGGTGTTGAGCAACATCAAGAGCGTGTGCAGCGAGGTGGAGGAGAAGGCGAAGAAAACGTCGTTGATCAAGCAAGCTTCGACGTTCGGCCAGACGATGTCCGGATTGAAGTTGGCGCTGAACAATCTGCAGGAGAAGTGCAAAGCGAAGGACTTGCTGATCGAAGCGATGACCGGCGAGCTGCGAAACCGCACCAACAGCATATCGTTTTTGCAGGTGTTGGATAACTTCATTTCGGGCGAAGTGCCCGACTACGATAAGAGCAACGACGTGGTGAAGACGTTCGACGAGCGGAAATCGAAGGCGGCGGAGAACGAGCGGATTATGAGGAAGAAGAAGAGCAGCAAAACGTGCAAGTGCGGCAAAATGCACAGGGACAAGGACTACAAGATGGTCGATTTGAAGGAGTTCGAGATCATCGATATCAGCAGGGTGACCGATGATTGTGTGATCGTTAAGTGGAATCCCCCTAAAAGCGATTTGGTTACCGGTTACGATATTTTTATTAATGGTGTGAACAAATCGAAGGTGATGAGCGGCGGAAGGACGACGGCAATGATACATTCTATCGATTTGTCCAAAACTATACAAATTACTATTTATGCTGTGACGAAGTGCGGGATATGCGAGCCCCCTGCTATTGCTATTTATCAAATTTGATTTACGATTTACTACACAGTTTCATACTGAAAATCTATGGACGATGAGGAGTTGTGAGTTTTATTGGTCTTTTTTTTCGTTATTTGAAGCAAATTTTATGTTCATATTCACTTGCCCTACGTTTAATATATTTTTTTGTAGAGTTGTTTTTTTTTTGTTTTGAATTTTTAAGTGTACTATATCAATTATTTGAATAGTGAAGAATTGGGGTGACAAACGTTAGTAACTTGTGATTTTACAGTTTTTGATTTAACTTCTTTAACAAACTTTACACGATTTGCACAAGAATTACTAAAAATGGGTGAAAGATCCACAATAATGAATCTCTATTGTCCACAATAGCTCGAGCCTAATTCACGATAGTTCCAATTAATTAGCTATGTCAATAAAAAGTAAATTTACATTTACAGTTAGTTACTTGAAGAAGAACATGGTAAAGGAGGTCGTCGTTCCTTATGCGATACACATCGGTTTAAGTTCATGGTCGTTTAAGATTTCACATAACTGGCTGGTTTTTCGTTGCATCAAGCGGTGTTATTTTGTAAATAAAATAAAAAAGTGCCTTTTGAATAACTGCGTACCTACCTATCAGATGCTTATGTAGGTGTCTTTAGTAAGAGGTACTATGAGTGAAATAGTTTTGTGGTTGGTGTTTATACTTACAGCATTTAGTAGCGTACAAACAGCTAAATATGTGCCAAATTGGAAAAAACAAGTATGTAATCATTGAAGTATAATTTAAAATTTTATAGTTTGATTTTGTCGTGAATTGTGAACGAAATTTCAGGCGTGCGAATTGCCAACTTCTCGAAAATCCCATTACATTTGCACGGACGATGGTGAGGTGAAGTGCCTTCCAGGCTGGACCGGCGATCTTTGCGACGTTCCCATTTGCCGGGCCGGTTGCGATCCCATGCAAGGCTATTGCACCCAACCGGGACAATGCACGTGCAAACTGGGTTATTACGGAGAAAAGTGCGACAAATGTATCACATTGCCCGGTTGTCAGCACGGCTATTGCAACACCAGTTTCGAATGCAACTGCAAACCTGGTTGGGATGGAATCTTTTGTAGCGAACGTAAGTGCTATTAGATCGTGCTCTATTAAAGAAATTGGGGTTTTTTATTGGGATATTGATTTGATTGCAGCAATATGTAGAAATGATTGTAGTGGGACAAGAGGATATTGTGATGTACCAGGAGAGTGTAAATGTCGCTTGGGTTGGTCCGGAAAAACTTGTAAGGAATGCCAAGTTCTTCCTGGATGCGTGCACGGTTATTGCAATAAACCACTGGAATGCAAATGTTTACCGGGATATACAGGAATTCTCTGTCAAATACGTTAGTATTTAATTATGTGTACAGAGTGTCTTAGCGAAAATAAAATATTTACGTGCACTCATACTCATAAATTTTTTCAGCTATTTGTTCACAATCGTGCCATAAAGAGAGAGGGTATTGTTTGAAGCCAGGAAAGTGTAGGTATGTAGAAAAAAGATCTGTAACTCGTTTTATCTCTATTACTCGTTTTAATATGTATGAAAATATTGTATGTTTCAGATGTAAAGTTGGTTGGTGGGGAAACAACTGCGAGAAATGCTACCCATATCCAGGATGTGAACATGGTTTTTGCAGGAGACCATGGGAGTGCAATTGTGAAAAAGGATGGGGCGGTATGCTGTGTAATGAAAGTAAGTAATGTTTTTATAGTTAATTACTGCACATGCAATTCATACTATGTATATTACAGAGTTGAATTACTGCGAGAACAACCCAGATATTTGTCAAAATGGTTCTAAATGTATATCACTGACGAGAGAAGATGGAAATTACAGGTGTTTGTGCAGAGAAGGAACGTTTGGTGTGAATTGCGAAAAATCCAAATTTAACATGACCGCAGGCAAACCGACGTTTAAACCGACTGTTAAAACAACGACTGTGGTTACAACTATCGAATATGTAAATTTTACTAATGAAATCATCACCTCGACTCCTTCAGTGGATAATCAAGAAAATGAAACTGAGAACAAAACCGAGAAAACTCCCTCAAAATTATAATTAAATAAGTACGTTGATTATCCACTGACTTAACAAAGAGTTTAAAAGGGAGTTTTATAAAGAAGTGTTGAATGAGCAATCCTGAATTATTTTAGGTTGGTTGACCCTGTCGATGTATGCAACACTTTAAACATGTTTTAAACCAAAATTCAGGTTAAGCTGTGTAATATAAATGAAATTAATTTTTTGTATCGTCTATAATATTAGTTATTTATTGGTAACATAATAATAACTTGTTGTTAATATATTATTTACAATTTGATGTTGATTTTTTGTGGTAACAATAAATAGATAAATTTACTAATTTTTTAATTGTTTAAATTTAATTTTGTTTGAGTAGATTATAAACTTTATGTAACCAGTAAAACAGGTAGGTAAATCGAGGAGTGGCTGTAGAATTACCTTGTTAAAGTTATCAATAAAAAAGGAGAAATGGAAAATGACATCTGACAGTGACATTTTTTGACATTTAAAAGACAAACTGTGACACGATAAAACAGGAAGGAAGACTTAATTAAATCAATTTTCTACCAATTTGTAAAAATGACCGATTTTAAAAGTATGAAATCTAAATAGTTTTAAACACTCCTTCTAATTTTGCATTGCTTTTTCAGAGGATTTGGAAAAATTGAAACAATACAGGGAAAATAACGATAGAAATAGTAGAGAAGTAGTGCAGATATGGATAAAGTCGTTGCAACCACACAAGGATAAACTTGGGAAAGAAAGTAATTAATTCGTATACTTCTTGCACCCAATTTCTAACCGGAATTATTTTTCAGAGCACGTAATTTTAGAACAAGTTTGTATAGCTGCACTGGATACATTTAACTTAAATATCGCGGAATCCTGCATAAAAGAGCTCTACGTCGAATTCCCGAACAGTTGCAGGGTTCAGATATTGGAATCTATGTTAAACGAAGCCAACGACAACCATTCCAATGCACTCATCATACTAAACAATGTCATTAAGCAAGACCCCACCAACAGTTCCGCTCGAAAAAGGAAAATCGCCATTTGCAAAGCTTTCGTCAAGAACTCCGATGCAATCAAAGAGCTGACGGACTACTTGAAAGTGTAATAATCGATAAAAATCACTTGTAAATAAGTATTTATATTCGTATATGTTTTAGTTACATGGCGGATATAGAGGCATGGCAAGAGCTCAGCGAATTGTATATTAGCGAATTCGATTATGGCAAAGCCGCCTTTTGTGTCGAGGAATTAATCCTGCACAATCCCCATAATCATTTACTGCACCAAAGATACGCCGATATAAAGTACAGTCAAGGTGGATTAGAAAACATAGAAATAGCCAGAACTTACTACTACCAATCACTCAAACTGAATCCCAGAAATATGAGGGCCTTGTATGGAATATACTTGGTAAATTGGATAATACCCTGTTAAGTATGAACGTATAAACGAAACTATTTATTTGTTTAGACGACATCTGCAATGTTGAATACTCAGAAGCTGGTGTCCGGCAAGAAAAAGGATTCGGCTCAGAAAATCCTCGAGTGGGTGCTCAAGGAAATCAAACAGAAGTATTCCGAAAAAAGCGCCATCGAGGATATAAAACAGTCTCTAGCAGCATTAGAAATTTAGTATTTCAATTCACGTTCCATTCTAGTTAAATTTAATTAAAGTTTTTATGAATGTTGTGAATTTGTGAATCATTTAGACCGGGTAAATATACGTTTGTTTCGTTTAATGCGTTATTCTACATCCTTATCATCTACGGGTATACTCGACAAATTGTGTTTTAAGCTGCTTATTTGACTAGTGACGTTCTTTAGGGATTCCATAACGACCGAATGGTATTTCTCTTGTTGCGCTTTAATTTCGGTCAGTAATTGAATTTTGATTCGGTCTAAAGAGAGGTTGTGTTTAGTTTGGAATTCCATCGAGCCGTTGCGGGTTTCCCCGACGTCCGCCTCGTCTTTTTCGTCGTCTTTATTCTCGCTTTCTATGATTTCTCCGACGTCCATTTCCAGTTTAGCGTCTTGCAGTTTGTTGTCTTGGAACCACTTGTGCATGTACTCGAAATAGGGCCACGTTATGTTCTGCGAGGACTCGCCCCTGGCCAATTGCTTGTAACGTTGCACTAAATTCTGCCAGCATTTGCTCAATTGGTCTATCGAATACTTGCCCTGGCATTGCAGGAGGGACTGGATTATCCTGGCAAACAGAATTGGTTAATAGATGTATGAATTACGAGTAGTTTACGTACATCCAACCGTCTCTCGCTGTGTATTTTCTTCCGGTGAATAAATGCCTATGTCTATATCGCAATTCTATAAGCTTCTTCATGAAGGATTGACGCTCTTCTGGAAAATTTATGATTCGTTAAACGTGGGGTTGTCGGTTGAGGTTTTAAATTACCGTTGATAATCGATTGATTCAACGAAGAATCGACGAATTTCCCGTTTAAATCCGACTCGGTTTCTTTACCGAAAGCCCTGTCCATTTGCTCGAAATAAGGCCACGTTATCGTTTCGGGATTCAAAGTGGTGTTTTTTATTTGCTGTAAAAAACGAATTTTAAATTACCTAAACCGCTTGAAACAAGCAACGACTCGTACCCTATATCTAGTCATCAAGTTCATCCATTTCTTCTTGATCTTAGCGATGGAAATGTACTCGGGAGCGCCGGATTCCTTCAGTTCCTCGAACACTAATCTGCCGATCGGGAAATCGCGGTTAAAAATCGGTTTAATAATGCGCAAATGATTTACCTCCAGCCTTCCGACGCGGAATTCCGTCGACGAGTGAACAATTTCGAGTACTTCATTCTCAAGTTGATTAGCACTTGCACCCACAAAGGGTCGACTACAAACAAAAGTTTTCTATCTCAAACGCGAGATTCGAATCTGAAATGTTTACTTACACTTGGTGCATTTTGAAGCGTACAATTCTTGCACACTTGAAGGTACAGTTACAGATACCACAGACTCTTGACTTTCCATTTTAGACTTAGGAATAAGTCACAGTAAACAAACTTCAACTTTTCTAAATAAGTACTAAACGGACTACTAGATTCTCTCGAAGTTCTATACAGGGCGCTTTATATTCGAACAATAACAAGCAAGTTTTCAAAACACATAATTTTATTTTCAATTATAAATATGTATAAGCAAATTACTATAATGTAGGTATTGTGAGAATATTTATGAAGCAAGTTTATTTATGTTTGTCGTCAGACTTATCATCTTTCTTCTTATCCTTGAGGCTTCCCACGGCTTGTCGAATCGCCTCCGACTGGGGATCGACACCGGGCAGATTTTCCAGCACGCTTTGCAGAAAAGCCGGATCGTTCATCACTTCGGAATAATCATCATCAGCCTCCACTTCCATGGGCTCATCCTTAGCCGGGCCCTCCTGCGCGTCCTGCATGGACATTTGCATAGCAAAAGCGATCTGCTCCTCCTCCGTCATGTTGGCGAAGTCCACCCCAGCCCGGGGCACGTTCAGGCTCTGGTCGTCCCCTTGCTCCATCGACATGGCCAAGGCCCTTTCCAGCAGGGCTTCCTCGTTGGGCTCCTCTTTGATCGTATCGGACTTGGCCCGAGCCTCGGTGCTGGAAGCGTCTTTGGCCCGGCGGGCCTCGTCCTCCTGGCGTTGCCGCTGCTCCTCCATGGACACGCGCAGGGCGAGCGCCAGCTCCGGGTCCTCGTTGGGGTCCACGCCGAATTCGAAGCCGGAGCCTCCGATGCCCGGGGCGCCGCTGCCGTCCTCGCCTTGGATGATAGGGGAAGATATCAAAGCGTCGGACAAATGGGGCCCGGGCGGGACAGTTACTAAATGGCTGCTGGTGCCGTCTTTGCCGTTTAGAGTGTTGATGAACGTCGTGAGTACATCCGCATTGGGGCTGTCTTCCCCGAAACTGATTATGTCTACGTTGACTTTTTCTTTTTTCAGTTTTTTCGCTAATTTCGCTAGTTCTTTGTCTTCGTTGATTACGGGACTGCCGACGAAGGCTACGATTCGCATTTTGTGGTTCTTACCCTGGCGGTGTTTTAGGGCTAAATGGGCGATTCTAATGCCAGTGTAGAGATTGATTTCGCCTTGGGGTTGGACCTGGTGCAATTTGGATAAAATGCGGCCTACGTCGCTCGTTAAAGTAGCTAGTACTTCTACTTTCGCTAGTGTTAGTAATCCGACGTTGTTTTCTGGATTAGACCTGGTTTTGGAGTGGCATACCAAGTTTACGGCGTCTTGTTGTGCTTGCAGTCTGCTAGGGAGAAAATCGCCGTTTCTCATATAGTCGCTGTTGTCTACGCATATCATAGTACTTTCGAGCACCATGGCTAAAAATTATTTGTTTGTTTTGTACGAAAAACAATTTGAAAGCGTTCGCAAATTTACAGATGAAATGACTAGCACTTTCTAACTTTTCTCACACAAAGCACAAAACATCAACTGGCAGTGACAAATGACAATTGTGTCATAATATACTAATTATATCTTTGATAAAAAGAAGAATTTTTTTTAATAATAATTATTGTAATTTAATAGTTGTATAATATCCTGATAATTAACATTAATAAACAATAAATGACGTAAATTTTACAAATCGGATTGAATTTTTTAATTCGTTGTAACCAGTTTGCTGGCATGTGAAGGGCCACGGTAGAAGTTAAATTTAGTTGCAACTACAGTTACAACGAGCACAATGAACGAAATTTTAAATAAATATAGATTTCTAAAAACAATATATTATACACAGTTCTTATGTTAGTGCTTCACTGTTTACGGGTATTTATGGCTCAAGTGATTTCCATTCAATTACAACGTAAGTATAACATATTCATATTAGTTCACATGTACATTAGTTTAAGTATAGGTAGTTGCCTATCAACCTGTATTCAAGTAGATAACTGTGAATATTTGGGTTTTTACTTTTTTGTTAATTGCTACGCACATAATCAGAAAAGATTATTCAACTATTTACTCTGAGAATACTGGAGAAATACTAAACGTAGACAGTTGAATTATATAAACATGCAATTCTTTTCTTAAAAAAATAATTGCTCAACAATTGGTTTTGTTTTAATAAATCCTTAGTAGATTTTTTTGCTTACCGGCAATTTGATAAAATATTCGTAAATTCACAACAGACTATTAAGTAAATAATTTCTGGCATTGATTTTTGTACTTTTGCGAAGCAAATCAAAGGTTGTTTCACGATTAAATAATTAATCATTTTTAATTTCCTCAGTATGTACACGAAATTTAAATCCTTCCGTAACTATATACAGTCGATATTGCAATAAAATATAAATGTGCAGTAAATGATTTCAATTTATATGTGCGTGTGCACTTCGATGGCATTTGCATGTACAAATATATTTTTGTTAGTTATCAATTTTTAAAAATAAGTACGTTATTTAATTAATTGAGATAGGACCTATCAATTTTCATCACATCACATCAAGATAATATTTTTTCTAAAAATATTTTAAATAGAATAGATTTTATGTTTATAGTATAAAGGTGTTTTTTATTTATAGGTATATTATGGAACGAATAAGGTGAGTTTTATAAAAAATTTAAAAATAATTTAGTACACATAAGTGCAAATTTGTACTCAAATTTGGTCTATGGGTGCAATAAAGGCAATTAGTAAAGGAAAAAGAAAGATCGAGCGGCATTGTGAGATTGCAACTTTCTCCCTCTAACCATTGTTATTTAAATAATCTTTATTTGTTCCACTCATAGAATTGACCATATTGCAAACAAATTTGCACTTACCTATAGGAATAATATTTTCTTGTATATTATAGTAAATGATTTCCAATTTCACTGCTTCAGTTAAGTGCACATTATTCAAATTAATTTAGAAAAATTTGCGCTTTTGAGATTAAAGGCAATCGCTTAAATTTAGTGATAAAAGGCATTCAACAAGCATTCACAGCTTCCGAACGTGATACATATTATAATGAATCTGGTTGATAATAATACAATATGATATTATGTGATTTGTTAGTTTTCCCCTACGCAGTTTCTCATTTTATGTAGTTAACTCGTTAATAATAATTTTCAAGTCAATACGAAAAAAATCACAAGTACCAACTAATAAAATAAATAATTTACCTATAATGATCGAATAGAGACAAATATCAATCACTTTGACAAAGTGCAAGGTTAACGTCAAAAAAATGAAGTCTGGAAATAAAAGTAACACATAAATTTTAGCGATGAAACTCCATCGACACGGTTTTTCAGCTATCATTTTGAAAATAACGAATTATCCGCGATATCCAATTTTAAAGTACAAGTTCGATTAGAATTAATAACTAAATGATAATACACGTTTTATAAACGGGACTTTCTTACAAATACATAACAGTTTCGAACGGTTATCTTGGTGATAATGTAATAAAGTACATGTTACTGAATTCAAAGTGCCGTTACAGTGTAAAATATGTCAAGCACGCTCAGGTATTTTCTTTTGCTTTCTTAAAAGGGTCAAATGACCTTGATGGTAGGAATATGTGTAAAAGTATATGCATCGAGGTATTATCTAATGCATCTCATAGAATTCATCAAGGAATCTTTACTCTATGTATCACTTAATTGATAACAAATTTAAAGGAGTTTGTATATGTAAAACGTAAAAATAATAATTAAGTATGAAGATCGGGGTAAATAAAAAAAACATGTTTTACACGTTCCTTTAAATTTATTTAATTCACCGTTTATTAGCGATTTTATTGACTAATTATTTCTCAATTAGGTACTCGAAATTATCTTTTATCTGCCATTAAAAGTTAATATAAAATTTCACCGGGTTTATCAATACCCTTGAAGAGTCTCGAGATTTACATATTAATGACCTTCCATGTTATAAAATTAATATGTCTGGATGTAAGCGCTATTATTGATAAATTAGTTATATTAGGATTCACAAACACAGTGTGTTTATTGTAATTTATTCAGAAACTTCCGATGGAAATTGGAAATTGGACTTTTTACCATGAACCCTCTCTTTATTCCGATAAAAAATATAAAGCGATTGACTTAAAAAAATATGATAATTAGTCTTTTATTTACTTTTTACTATCTAATTTACAACTATGAACGTTTTCAGTATCGAATACGGCTGGTTCTTCAGCGCTGTCTACAGTGTAATATCTGCTGGTGCTTTCTGTTTCGACGTCCTCACATTTCCCATCTACTTAATTCTCCAAAACCCAATCAGACGACTCCAGTTATCCAAATCGCAAAGAGTAAGTCCCAGTAGCAACGCCGCCAATAAAAAAACTAATATTTCATAAATTTAGGCCGATATAATCGACAGAAAACATGACTACATCACGCTCAAAACCACCAAGAAGCCTTCCAAAGCGCACGACGAAATCGACGAGAACAACATCGAAACCATGGCCGAACTCTCCGACTACATCACCAAGAAACAGCGCGAGAAAAGATGCCTGGGCACCAGGCAGATACTCGGCGAAGAGGACGAGCAACAGTCCAACGGCAGGGTGTTCAAAAAGGTACCAAACAGTACACCAAACCCACGCCTATTCCCTCGAAATCAAGACCGAAATCCTTTCAGTTCAACTTAGGAGAGTACACGTGGTTGACGTTCACCGACGTCGACCGATTGGCCACCCAATTCGGCCGGGGCCTCCGACAGTTCGTCGTCAAACCCAAGCAGCCCATCGCCATTTTGGCGGAGACGCGCGCCAAGTGGATGGTGGCCGCCCAGGCGGCTTTCAAGCACAGCATTCCTCTCGTCACCATCTACGTGACCCTCGGCGACGAGGCCATCGCGCACGCCATCAACGAGACCGAAGTCGAGGTCATCATCACCAGCTTCGCCCTCTTGCCGAAATTCAAGAACATCCTCAACATGACGCCCAACGTGAAGACCCTCATCTACATGGAGGACCAGCTGGAGAAGCTGGAGAACGCGAGCGGCTACAAGGAGGACGTGACCATTGTAGCTTTCGACGACGTTATTCAAGATGCTACGGATGTAGGTAAGTTCCACCGTCAATTAATCGCTTCTAAGTTTAGTAATTGTGGTGTAAATCTAGAGGAATTGAGGCCGGGTCCCGAAGATACGGCGATCATCATGTACACCAGCGGCTCGACGGGGATACCCAAAGGAGTGAAACTGCTGCACAAGAACATGGTGGCCTCGGTGAAGGCTTTCATGGACTGCACGCCGATGTACGAGAACGAAATCGTATTGGGCTATTTGCCTCTGGCGCACGTTTTCGAGCTGATCGTGGAAGTGGGCATGATGTTCCTGGGCATGAAGATCGGCTATTCCAGCGCCCTGACGATGATAGACACCGCGAGCAAAATCAAACGAGGCACCAAAGGGGACGCCACCGAGTTGAAACCCACGTTTATGTGCAGCGTTCCGTTGATATTAGATAGAATATCCAAAGCTATAAGGGAGAAGGTGAACAACAGCAATCCGGTGAAGAAGATGCTGTTCGATTTCGGGTATAATTACAAGAGCAGATGGTTGAGATGGGGTTTCCAAACGCCGTTGGTCGATTTGTAAGGGTTGAGGTTTTTAGTTGTGTACGCTCGGAGTATAATGTTCGCACGCTTTTAGGGTCGTATTTCGAGCTACGAAGAACATTTTAGGCGGGGATCTGCACCTGATGGCCGTCGGCGGGGCGCCGCTGACCGGGGAAACCCACGAATTGATTAGGGTGTGCTTGGGGGTGGACGCTTTGCAGGGGTACGGGCTCACCGAGACGTGCGCTTGTGCGGCCAATCAAGACGGTGAGGAGTCATTCAACTGGAAAATGTTCGAAAGAAATTAAATGTAATTTGTATGTTTAGCCTACGACATGGAGTACGAGCGTGTAGGTCCTCCCATGACGATGGCTTTGGTGAGAATAGCGAATTGGGAGGAAGGGAATTACTTCGTAACGGACAAGCCGAATCCTAGAGGGGAAATTATAATCGGAGGTGATATGGTGAGTCCCGGTTACTTCAAAAACGAGGAGAAAACTAAGGAGGAGTTTTTCGAACATGACGGTATTTGGTGGTTTAGAACGGGTGACATCGGGGAAGTCCATAAGGACGGATCTATTAAAATCATCGGTAAACATAAAACAATATTTCAATAACATGTGACAAGTGCTGAATATTTTGTAGATCGCAAGAAAGACATTGTGAAATTGCAAGCGGGAGAGTACGTATCGTTGGGGAAGATAGAGGCCCTGCTAGTTACCAATAGATTAATTGATAACATTTGCGTGTATGCGGACTCGACGAAATCGTATTGTGTAGCGTTAATTGTAGCCAATCAGGAGAATTTAATTAAACTAGCTAGCGAAAGACTGAACAAAAGTGGAAGTTTCGAAGAACTTTGCGATGATCCGGAAGTTATAAAGGCTTTATTGAAAGCTATTACAGAACATGGCACCAAAGGTATCCGTCTTTTATATCGATAACTATATTCTTAATATCAATATTAATGTTTTAGTGAAACTTCAAAGATTTGAAATACCTGAAAAAATAAAATTAGTAAAGGATGTTTGGGTGCCGGAGACCGGTTTAGTGACTGCGACATTCAAGTTGAAGAGAAAAGAAATTCAAAAATATTACGCAGACGTTTTACAGGAATTATACAGATAATTACCGTAATTTAATAAGTGTAATAAACTAGTAACTAATAGCAAAATTTAATTATTGAACCTATTAATTGAACGCGCCCCCAGTAAAATAAGAACGAGAAACATAGAAGCAAAATGGAAACTGAAGAATTTAGAGTAAAACATTCATGGAATAAATAAATTTAGTGTAAATGATTATTTAGTAAATCCTCAAAATTATTATTTCCTGATTATAGGCAACCAGTTTAACAAGTCAATTTGGTGTTTTAAGTTATGTTGGCTATTCTGTATAACAGTGAAATAAAATGTTGGCAATCCTGCTTTTTGACGTTTGCGGTGTAAACGTATGCCTACGTGTAATGTGCTTTGGCAATTCGTGTCATTTTTCGTGAGTTCCTTTGAAAACAGTACAGTAATTTACGTGTTTGGTAGATGAAGAACACATCTGCTACAATAAATACTCTATTTTTGAATTAGTTCGTTTGTAGTTTTTATAGTATCCAATTAAGATGGTAAGTCCTACATCTTCTTTAAACTTTTCTGTGAATAATTCTTTGATTTTGTCCAAAAAGCCTGCTTCTCCGAGTTCTACAAATGTCGGTTCTGGTGGAAGGTCCCCTTCGAAAGCTGTTGCTCCTCGGTCCTCCATGGGCAGTGGAAGCGTAAGGCAAAGAAAAACAACAACGACTACGACCACAGCTAGAAGGAACACAGGTGCAGGTACTGGTGGAATGTGGCGTTTTTACACAGACGATTCTCCTGGAATTAAAGTGTAAGTACAATATTGTCGCACTACAGGTTAAGGGGGATCAGGATAAAAATTTGGAGGGTCTAAAATTGTCTTGAAGATTCTAGAAGCCTCTTTTTAGGTTGAATATAACATTTAATTTTGTGTAATTTCAGAGGTCCAGTTCCAGTTTTAGTGATGTCGCTTCTCTTCATTGCCTCCGTCTTCATGCTGCACATCTGGGGAAAATACAGCAGAAGCAGCTCGTAGATGAACGCCGATAATTCATCATTCCATCGACCACTTATTTAATGCATTTTTTGAATTGTACATTTTTTATATTGTTATAAGTATAAAAATTTGTTTTTGATTTATATTTCTTATATACTACTTTAAAAATACATCCATTTTCAATATAATTTTTTATTTATAAAATTGTCCACGTTCAAGCAATCGTATTTGATAGGTATTGTAATGATTTGTATAGGAATTGTTTACTAATAATTGAATACATACAAAAGAAAGTTTATTTAAATTACAACTTACGAAAATAGTTACAAAAAGAAAATGAATGCTTATTTTTTCTTCTCGTCCTTCTTCGCCTCCTTTTCTTTGTCAGTTTTTTCCTTATCTTTGTCTTTGCTATCCTTATCCTTGTCCTTCTTCTCTTCCTTTTTGCCTTCTTCTGCGTCTCTGTTGGTGAGTTTGTTGTTGATTAGATTGTGCAATGCGACGATAGATCGAACGAGAGCTGCTAAATAAACTACAAGCATTTGATCGTTGTTTTTAACATAAAACGAATTGTTGAATGCATCTTGGTTTATATCGGGCAACAAATTGAAAATGTCTTGCAATTGATAGATGATCTGATGATTAATGGGCAGTTTGGTATCGCCCACTTGCATCAAATAGTCTCTTATGTCTCTCAATTGCAAATGCAACCCTTTCAGGCCTAATAACTGATTGGTGATCCTCTGAGATAAAGTGCCCACTGTAGTGTCTTTGATATCTCTTAATAAATGTTCTACGCCGACTTCCTCGGCTTCTTCTGCGCCTATTTCGCTCGGGACGTGTTCAAATGTTTTGGACGTAGGGGAGCCATCATCGTGGACTTCTTCGACCGCTTGGTACGCTTCAGTAGGAAGCCCCAGATCTTTAGGTTTCGCATCGATAATCACCAGCACGGAATTGGGGCAGTATCTTCGAATTAATTCGTTAATAGCGATGTCATTTTGGTGCAATTTAGGACCAGTGTGGTACCAACCAACGACGCGTTCTCTAGCGTTGACTTTCTTAAACATGCCGTACATGTTTTCCAAGTAGTCGTGGTCCAAGAACCATACAGATTTATCTTTGTCGTCCTCATCAAAAGGGACTAGAAAATACAATAGTGTTATTTGTATATTAAGTAATATAGTTTAATAAAGTACCTGCAAAACTGTTGGACACATCCAAGACTCCTTTAGCCCTCCAGCAACCGAGTAGAACACCGACAACGCGCTTTTGATTGCCGATTTTCCCCATTCGATTGAAATGGTCCACTACGCTGAGGAGCACCAGCGGGTGCACTATTACCTTAGTCGTTGTTACCTCTGTACTCGGCATTTTAAATTATTTATTTCTGTTTATCTGCTATGTTATATTAAAATTACTAAAAATCAAATCCAAACAAGATGACACTTCAAAAAATTTTCGATGAAACTTCATTCGAATCTAAAGTGTCATTGTCACTTGTCATTTTTATTGTGTAAAAATGGAAATTCTTTTGGAAATTCATCTCATTGTAGTTGCACTAATTGTTTACTTGCTCTTTTTATTTATACTAATAAAGTGAATTGAAAGGAATAAATAATAAAGGTGAGAAATTATGAATTTGTCAAATAGTGTTTGGGAAAAAAGCATAAAATGAAAAAGAGATGAGTGGGCTGAATAGCAATGAATGTTTTTTACAAAAAAGAAGATATTTTTTACATTTATGTTTTCTTTACTTTAGAAAAAATATTTCCCTATTTTAAAAATCGTGCGATAGTATTTATTAAATTATTTTATTGTTGTAGAAATAACTTTTTAATTTAAAATTGTTAAAAAAAACACCGAAAACAGTTTAGTACATATCAAGTAAACTGCGCGAACTTCTTGCGCATCGAACGAAATCTTCAATGCGCCGACTCACAGCAGTTTATTTGGAGACGATTGAACTATTCTAAAAATGTCAGTTCTTGGTTCTCGTATTTCGTTTTAGTATCGCCATTTTGAAGTTTAAGAAGTCGCAAATATATCCACGAACATCCGTCATTCGGCGGAATTTTAAACAAAAAACTCGACTATTTAAATTTCGGCTGGTGTACTCGATATAATAATATAGGTATTTCGGTGATAGTTACGAGAACAAGTGAAGTTGACAGTTTTGTTTTGATCAGTTAGCGACCAAACTAAAAATGGCGTGTGCAACATTGAAGAGATCTTTGGACTGGGAGCCCGTGCTGGGAGGCCGACCGGCCAAACGGCGACGATGCGTACCCTTCTGTTCCAGCCCTACGCAAAGCGGCATAGGATCTCCGGGCCCGTCGACTAGCCCCAGTGGCTCGTCTTCTCCCAAGAGCTCGGTGTTTCCAGACGTTAAAAAAATGACCGCTGGTAAGTTATAATTGCTTGTTTCTTATAATCGTTATGGTGCAACATTTTTTTTATTATAATGGTAATTTTTATTTTAATCGCTTTTTTTGACGTATTAATATCATCAGCTGATTGACGACATTATTGTTTACCATTTGCAATGCTCTTTGTTATTCAAATTAATTTGGTCGTTTGAAATAATTTTTATTTTCATATAGAAAAAAATGGGTCTAAATTTAGTCATATCTTTGACTAGTAATTGTTTGGTTATTTGTGTATTGTAAAACTACATTCAAATATATTCAATTTAATTTTCATATTAACTTAACGGTTTTTTACATTTAAGCTCTTTGTATATTTTTAACTTGAATGGAAATTGTTTTGTGGATTATATTTTCAAAAATTGCACATTTTTGAATTAGTCAATTAAGTGTCTTCAATCAGTGGTATACATACAGGGTGTTCCTTAAAATATGAGGGTATTGTATTATAGTATAATATTGATGAAACATTTTTCAAAGGGTGGCTGAATAATGGCCATACTGCATACATCATTGTGTGTAATTCAGTTAAACAATATTTTAATTATAATTTTTTGTGTGTATAGAAAACCTTATTGATAGTCTCAAAGCAGAAATAAAAAGATTACAAAAGCGTAAGCAATTAAACTACAATAGTATGGAAACATCGGACGGCAGTAGTTCAGGTGGCGAATCTTGCGAATCTCCTTGTCGTTCGGACAAACCTTTATTTACGTTTAAACAGGTAATGTTGATTATTAATTTATTTTAGTGGTAAACGAACTGCAATGCGAGCCATGGTTTTTCTTTTCAGGTTGGCCTGATATGCGAACGTATGCTTAGAGAACGCGAAATAGAAATAAGAGAGGAATACGACAATGTTCTGACAGCCAAACTTGCCGAACAGTATGACGCCTTTGTTAAATTCACATACGATCAAATCCATAGAAATTATACCAATACGCAAGTACCCAGTTGTAAGTATCTATTCATTAGACTAAAATAATGGTTGAATTTCAATCTGTAGATATACAAATGACTGCAAAGTTGTGACGCAATTTGGTCTATAGGTGCAACAAAGACAACTTCCATTAGTCTCATGTAAAGGAAAAGGAAATCGTTATATTTATGAAATTGTAACTGTCTTACTCTAACCACTGTTGTTTTAATATTTCTTTGTTGAACTCGTAGAATTGACCATATTGCAAACAGATTAATTATCGAATCTAGGGGAAGTATGTAATTAAAAAAAATGTTTTTCTTTCAGACCTATCATAAGGTGCGAGGAAGCCGAGGTCGTTTTAGTGCTATGCCCTAGCTACATTTTACGTCATTTAGCATCGTTTATATACATTCACCTACTTACATACTGAAGGCAAAACAACAAAATCATTTATAGATATAATATTGCCTGTCGGAAGATGCCTTAGAAATGTATTTATTAATATAAACGTAACCATACTTCTTGCTGGCAAACAATTGTATATATTAATATTATACCATTTTTTTGTAATATGTATTTTAAGAGTATGCATTATTATATACTTGTTATTTTATTTCACTTGTACATATTTTTCTTTGGTGAATCCAAATGATTTGAGGTAAATTTATGTGTCGTTTGTAGTGATCGTTTAGAATTAGCATGAAGCGGTTAAACTATTTCAAAAAGATCGATTACTAACCAAAAGTGTATTGTATGACAACTGTGGTGTTAAAAACTTTGCACATTTACTAGTTCTGTGAGCTTACACTGTACTTTTATTTCTCATTTAATTTTAAAATTAGCCTACAAATATTCATTTAATTATAATTTATTTGGATTCCTAATTATTCTTTGGTACTATTTGATTTTCTTTAATTTATTATTTTAGTTTTCAGCTTTTCCCTTGTTCTAATTTATTCACACGCCATTTACTTCTGCTTTCTAATGCATACTCTAATAAAATTAGCGTTTTTATAATTTTCTTACAAAAAAAAAGAAAAGCCCATTAAACTTTTTCCTCATAGTTGTCATTGTTCAACAAATTTATAATGAAAGCCTATATTTAATCTCAGGGAATTATTTTTTCTCTGAAAAAAATTGCTTCGTTCTGTGTGTAATCCAAGTACTTTTCGCACCAGAGTATTCAAGTTTATGGATAATTTAGGTTTCATGAGACTGTGTAGTTCGGAAAAATTAATTTTAGTCATAAGGCAGGCTTTATAAAACCGGGTTTAATTCGTAAAGTTGTTACCTCTTCACAGTGTTAAATGGACTGATTTTAGCTGTATATGAGGACTGAATATTGACAACATTCCTTCAAGGAAATTTTAACGATTTCAATGTATAAAGACGGAAAAAATGTAATAATATCTAGATGCGGATTTCTTTTTTCTACTTATCAATATTGTTTTAGTTTACAAGATTTTGACTGCAAAAGCGGGCCTAAGGTGATGTTCTTGTTTATAAATGTTATTTAATTGATTTCTACATAATGTAATAGTAAAATTTGCAAGGTAATTAATGTTTGTAAAATTTTTCTGACTGATTGTAAATGAATTATTTGCTGGAGAAGGTGTAATCAAACCTGAAAGCAATAAACCTTTTGTATCCTAGTTGTAAGAACTTGATAGCGTTTTTATATTTATTAAAAGATAATTTATAATTTTAACTCGATTTTAGGACCTGCTTATGTGATATGTTCATTAGCAGCAAATAAAATTTTGTAGTATTTTATTGATCACAGCTCGGCCATTTAATTTTTCACTGTAAATGCAATTGCGCAACTACTCATTATTTAGTTTCTATGAGTTATTGGCTGTATCAGTAGAATTGAGACCTTTGAGCAATTTAATTGCTGGATGGTATTTTTCTGTCTTTAAAATAAATAGAACCTAAGTCTGCTTGTTTGTTACTCGTATGATGGTCTCCCAAGAGATCCAAATTTATAAACATTGGATATTACCGGTTTAATTTTTGTTTTGTCAAATACATAGTTGAAAAATCATCAAAGAATTGAAGAGTGTATTTGAGAATAATAATTAATTTCTCGCATCGATTGTAATGGTTTTTCAACTAAATTAGTATATAATTTGTAGTTAATAATAGCTAAGGAAGTCGATATAAATATACCTTGTTTTTTTATTAATTAAAATTTCCTAATTTGTAACTTATTGTTTTATTGGGTGATTCGCTACATTACATAATGCAATTTCTATTATCTCATGATAATTTGTTTGCGTATTTTTTGTAGATCACTTCGATTCTAGCGGTAAGTCGAATTCTCATTCGTTAGTCTTAAGCTATATGTATGTAGGTACTTTTTTTTCGCTTCGTGTGAACACCAAGTGGCTTTTTATTTATTTAGCATATTCTCTAAGATTTAGTTTCTGTTACAAAACTTTGTTTACCTCTTTTTAAACGAAATATTAGTTAACGATAAGAATTAGAATTAATTTGTTAAAAAGTCTTATGATATTTAATAAAAAAGGGCTTATAATTTTGTTGGGTTTTTCTTATGAAATTGCTTCATTTTCCCCAAATTTTTTGGTATACTGAAAAAGTTATGCATAAAATCCTGAGTAGTTTTTTTCTCATTCAACATAAAACTTATTTTAAAAGTTTAATTTAAAATAGGAGGAAAGCGCGTAAGTACAAGTTGATCTTTAATTAACCAACATTTTTTTTATTTAATTCTGTCCAACACAAATTCATTAATTATTCACTAATTTTTAGATTCAAAAAGCATTGATTCAAATAAAAAAAAAAATAAAACAAAAAATTTCAATTTGAGCGACAAATTGGCAAAACATCCTTTTTTCTGCTTTTCTACTTCTAAGCGGCCGATTAGACCATTATTAAATAAATAAAACAGAGCTCGCGCAGTGAGCGAGAAACTGGCTATTCAACTATAAGTGAAGAGGCAAATCCGATCTGTCAAGTGTTTTATACATGTACCAAAACTGTTAAACATAAAAAAAATCAGTGACTAATAAATTATTATTGGAAACATTATTGTTATAAGAAAAAACCTTATTTTACTTTCGAGTAAAATAACGGAATAACCACAGCATCTTAGGCCAAGTTAAAAATGTGCATATCATAAAAAGTATGTTCTGTGATAGTGATAGTGTTATCTGTCAATGTCATCATTTTCAAACGTCAAAATAATGAGAATGGCTTGAATCGAAGAGGTTACATACGTGGAACTTTGTGTGAAATTGTACTTTAATTTGAATGAACGATGGCCTCAAAAAGGAAAAACAAAAAAAACATACTGGCAAAAGTGAATTTTCCTCTGTACACCGTCCAGATGCTAACGTCACGGCACGTTATCGTAGGAGGCGGCGGTGGAACTTCCAAGACTGGGGTTGAAAACGGTTTCGTAAGCCCTATCAACTCGTTTAGACTGAAATTAGTTATATTGAGCATTGAATTTTTAGGAAATATACGAAATCTTTCATGACGGTCACAAATTCTCAGCCAAAGAAGTTACGAGACACGAAACCGGAGGAAACGTAGTCATGAATTGTTGTGCATTTAGTGATAGGAAAAATTCGTTTTTAGTAGCCGGTCAAGAAAACTACTCTCAACTTTACAAAGTCAATACAAAATTAATCGAGCATGAACAAGTAGAAACAGTTGGTGACACCGCAAGCGTTCGGCATAGAAATACCAAGCCCAAAGAACACGTAGATAATAATAAAAACATTAAAAAGGAGCTGGCTTTTGACCTGAATCCTCTAGATTGTATACAAACTGATTTTAAGGGATCCGAACCCCTATGTAGAGTAGTTAGAATTAATCACTCGGGAAAAATATTAGCTACTGGTAAGTACAATATAATTGTGTAGCATTCATTTTTGTTACGAAAAATATTTTAGGGGGAACTGATGGGGATGTAAGACTTTGGAAATTCCCTACAATGCAGCCAATGTCGATTCTAAAGGGACATACAAAGGAAATAGACGATATAGATTTCAGTAAATTCGATAACCTCATCATAACTTTAGCTAAAGACGGTTTGGCTATTTTGTGGGACGCCCAAACGGGAAAACAGAAATCGAAACTGACTTGGAAAACTCCAGAGGGATCAAAATATTTGTACAAGAGATGCAGGTTAGTCACTAAACTCTTCATTTATCCCTACAATTAAATAATCATTGTTTTTGTTGAAGATTTGGCGTTATCGAAGATCAAAAAAACAAGTGCATGCTATACATGATAGCGAATGCGACTAATTCGAAGCAAGCATCGTTTCTTCAACAATGGATACCCGAGGAGAATACTTTAAAAAAGTTCTCGGAATTTAATGAAACCCTGTCTGCACTTGCAGTGAGAGACGATGGGCGATTTGTAGCTGTCGGGACAATGTTCAGCGGTTCCGTTTCCATTCACATTGCCTTTAGTTTACAGGTATTTTATTTAATATTCATCAAGTAATGATATTGATTTGCAATATTGCAAATTCGTTTTTTTAGAAATTATTAGTAGTTGTCGGTGCTCACTCGATGTTTGTAACTGGTCTGGAATTCCTATCTCACGAAAATACTAATCATTCCATAAGTAGTGTTGCTGAGACTGCTGTGTTGTCTATTTCGGTGGATAATCAGCTTTGTATACATTCAGTGCCATACAGACGTAAGTACATTATTTGTATTAACGTACATTATTTGAAATAATATGTTTTATCATTTTTAGGAAGTATACCTTTATGGATTGGAATTATGGTGTTAGTTTTAGTATTATTTATTACATTTATGTTATGTGCATACATGGGTTTGTGATATTATAATTTGTATTAGAGCGGAAACAAAACTCATTTGAATTTTTATTCATTACATTACTGTAACCCAGTTTATCACGACTTTCATTACTTTCAAATTATTGCAAAATAGAATTATCTTAATAATCTAACAGTAAAAGTACAGAAGATACCGCGAGGCAAAATATCAAAAACTGTTTGGTAAGAGGCCACAAAAAGCAGAAGAAGACGGAATGTCAAATAAATGTTTTGTGTCATTTGTCAAAGTGCGGTAATTAGTGAAATGTTTGATCATAAAAATAAAAACACGTTGTAAATATTATCATTTACATTTATTCTGTAAAAGTTATAACAATATTCAAAATGACTGACGAAAATTCTTGGAGGACTCCGACATTTCGACAAAGTGTCGTCGCAAAAATGTAAGTTAAATTTATCCTGAATACATGTTGATATATACATGTTGATTTAACTATTAAATTGCTTTAGAACAAGGTCAATTAGTTAACTTATTCAATATTTCTAATATCTACGCCTTATAATAACGATTTTACGCAGTGAGGAAGCCATCAGGCAATCCGGAATGAACACATCCCGGAACAGCATCGAAATGGAGAACCACGTCTTTCAAAAGGCCAAAAACAAGGAGGAGTACCTGGGTTTCGTCGCGAGGTTAATTTTGCACGTTAGAGAAATGAGTAAGTTCCATAATCATTAGCCGAGGAAATAAATTCAATGTATAATTTCAATGCTTCAGAACCCAAACAAGGTGGAGGGATGGCTGTTCCAGGACAAGGTCAAGGCGGTCCAGGCATGCAAGATCCGATCAACGCCCTCCAAACTTTAGCCAGCCAAGGAACGCGCAATTCCATGATGAACATGGGCCCCCAGGGGGCGCAAATGGGGGGACCCCAACAAGCCCCCGCCACGAATTTATTACAAACATTAAACCGGGGCCCTCAACAGATGATGATGGGTAACGCCATTCCTGGCGGTTTGCAGAACATGCAGGTATACAGCACAAACAAACAACCTACTTAACCTTATCTTAATCTAACGCATAATTGACTATCATTGGAAATAAATCGGTTTTTAATGGAGCTGTATTATTTACAGGACAGGCAAAACATAAATATGGCATCCAACGGTAGCCAAATGAGCGCGCAGCAAATGGGCAATCAAATGGCCAATCAAATACGACTGCAGCAAATGCAAAACAATTCCATGAATCAGATGGGCAATCACCTCGGCGGGCCCTTACAAAACGCCGTTCAAAACCAAATGGGCAATCAGATGTCCGCCCAAATGTCGGGCCAAATGCAAATGGCCAATAGCATGGCCAATCAAATACAAAACCAAATGATGGGTGAGTTGTCGGCTGTTTGAAATCCCGACCTGCATACAGGGTGTTCTAAAATGACATGCTAATATTTATGGGGGTAATTCCTGGACCTATTTTAAGGAAAAAACTTCATAAGAACCTATGTCCTAAACGTCTTAACTTTTGAGATGCAGGGTGTTAAAGTTTTAAGAAAAAAATCAATTTTTTGTATTAACTGTAATATTGTAGATATCTTTATGAAATTTGGCACACGTCTTCTATGAATTAAGATGCATTTTCTGATGTACAAATGATTTTATTATTTTCAGCAGTGGCGTACGGGTTTTGCATTGAATATTTTTGGAAAAAAATGGTACGCCACTGCCTAATATTGAAATTATAATTATTTTCGGAATCCTCATTCAATTTAGAACAAATTTGATCAAAAAAAAAAAATAAATTAATTGATTTGTACGCTGCCGATACATTAGCCGCTGTACTAAAATTAAAAATAATAAATTTTAGGTTTAGGACATATGTTTATATGAAGTTTTTTTACTTAAAATGGTCCCAAGAATCAGCACGTCATATGGAACACCCTGTATACTCAACGACCTGCTTTATCTCGATTTTTGCACTTTTTGTACAGCCCATTGTTTTTATACGTCGTGTATTTTATAGATTGTTTTCGATTGTTTTGATATTACTATAAAAATACGCGAGCAAACGATTTTACATTAACGTTAAATTTCAGTTCAAACGCGCGTCGAGTTATTTCGGCAATTTAAAAACCTCCACTCGCCCAATTCGTCTACAAAATCCACACGTTTTTTTTGTTTTTGTTCTTCCAGGAGGGATGTCCCAGCTACCGCAACAGAAACCCCAAGGGATGATCATGAACCAAATGAACCCGAACTTCCCGCGGAACCCGACGCCCAATCAGATGTTCACCCAGAGCCCGTCGCCGTCGGTGCAATCGCCCGCCGGGCTGGGCAGCCAGCCGCCCGTCGCCTCGCCGGCGCTCGCCTCGTCGCCCGGCGCCCAGATGAGCATGATAGGCAGCGCGGGGCCGCCGCGCTCCGTCGGCATGGCGCCCAGCCCGGGCAGCTCGCTGAACACGCCCGGCCCGCCCAACCAGAGCCCCATGGCCGACGAGCAGGTCTACAGGGAGAAGGTCAGGCATCTGAGCAAATACATCGAACCTTTAAGGAAGATGATCGCTCGAGTCGGCAACGAAGGTAATCGTTTACATTTTAACACGCGAGTTTGGTTTAATGTTTTTGATTAATAGATGTCGAGAAAATGAGCAAGATGAAGAAGTTGTTGGAGATACTGTCGAATCCGCAACAGCGGATGCCTTTGGACACGTTGCTGAAATGCGAAATCGTTTTGGAGAAGATCGATTTCAAGCGGGGGGATAGCAGCGTGCCCGCTTCCACCACGCAATTGCCGTTCAAGGAGCCCCACGTTTTTCACGCGCTCCTCGACGCCGTCAACAGCAATCTGCAGAGTCCCGTCATCAATCACACGTTGCACCGCACCTTCGGGCCCACTTTAGACGCTTTGTTCGGACCCGAAATCAAGTAAGCAATCCGTTCCGTTATAACACAAGCAAGACAGTTTCGTAGACGGCCTTCTACGCTACAGACAGTTAAATAACGAAGGTCTCGCTCGCTGCACGAGCTCGACTTATTCGACAATAGGAAATATACAATGTAAATTGTTTGTTGTAGGTTGGTGTCTCCGCTGAAAAAGGCCAAAGTGGAGGAGCAATCGAGCGACATACCGGACGTGTTGCAGGGCGAAATCGCCCGTTTAGATCAGAAATTCAAGGTGTCGCTGGACCAGAACCAACAGCCGGGCTCCAAGTCGATACAGTTGATTTGCTGGTTGGACGACAAGCACCTGCCGTGCGTGCCTCCGGTGTCGTTGACGGTGCCCGAGGACTATCCGATCGCGTCGCCGACGTGCCACATGAACCCGCACGAGTACAAGGCCACGCAGTTCCTGTCGGCCGTGCAGGCGGCGCTGCAGACGAGGATGAAGAAGCTGCCGAAGCATTTTTCGGTGTCGCAGCTGTTGGATACGTGGGAGATGAGCGTGAGACAGGCGGCGGCGCCTCATCAGGCGGCGTTCGATTTCACGGCGGCGTTGCTTAATATTTAATTTGTGTTATGTATCTATTTCTTATATTTCTTACATTCTGTGTATTCTATTCTATTTCTTTTCTATTATTATCGGTAATAATTGTAAAGTAAGTGTTGTTTTTAAAGTAGAGAGTTTTCTCATGTTTTTTTGTGGTGTTGAATTTTTTAAATGGGCTAGTGAGATTAAATGTTTTTCCGGCGATAACGATGGTATTTGGTAAATTTGATAACGAGTTTTTGATAATGAATGTTACAACGTGTCCGAGTAATATTTCAATTTTGTGACACCATCGCCGGATTAACGTGACGTGTATTAAATCTATCTGAAGAAATAAGTCTGATGTCATTTTTTTTAATAAAGACGTTTTTAGATTTTTATGAAAGATTTTTATTGATTACAACTCCTTGGTATCCTCATTCTTCTAAATATCCTTTATTTACCCACTAACTAACTATTTCTGAAACACCCTATATATTTACTTGAAGGTTTTTGTTTTAGTTTTTTCGAAGTACACAGGTTCATTTTATCTAACAATTTTTACAACATTGGTAACTAGCTACGTAATAAAATAAGATAAATTTTACGACAAAAGCATTTTTACCAATATATTTAAGTAAATTTAGTGGCTGAAGGAGCTCGGTTACAGAATTTTGAAAGTATAAGAATTTGTAAGTTTTTTTTATTTATTTAATAATTGAAATATTTGAAAATTCTTGATTTCCAAGATCACTCTGGCATTGAATTTATTTTCACTCTATACATTCATAATTTCATAATTCTCGTTCATAATTAAGTAATTAAATTAATTTTAATTTCAAATATTTTTTTAATAATCGAGTTACTTTAATTATAGAAGGCACGCTAATTTGTTTTTAGACATTTTTTAATAATAAGAGAATAAAATGAGAAATTTCTCATAAATTGCACACTTAATAAAAAAAATTCTTCGTCATAATAAAAATATGAGTAGGTACTTACAATTAGTAAAAATTTTACTCATACAACAAAATGATGGAACCGAAACCGTGGAACGACATAACAATCCAACCCAACATTGAGTACCTTAACAAACTAAAGCCTTTATTTCGATGGAAAAGTAACGAATAAATCATCGAGTGGGCGATGATAGCAACACCGAAAAAGTGTTGCTACCATTCCTACCACCCGATTTCAATAAATACATCGGCACCGATGTGTTATTTGTACTTACCCATTTCTCTAAAAGTCACATTGCTTACAAGTTCTGTGTAATTGAATTAGACCACGATTATCAAAACTTTGGAAACATTCCTCGTATATTGCATAACAAATACGTATTATCTTATCCCACGTGTTATTTTCAAGATTTTGTATCAGCTTGAACCCCATGTTACATGAAGTGTCCGTAGAGGACTACAAAAGAGGAATATATAGAAAAAAAAATGAAAAATAATCCATTAAATTTCACGTATTCAATTACCAGAGATTTAGTTTACAACCCTACTTTCATATTAAACGTGGTGATGACGGATAAATAAAAAAATCTGCTAGGTTTTTTTTTACTCAAAATGTTTGTTTTGCTAAAACCTTTATATTGCCTGCCAATTAACAACGTCTTTCTAATTATCCTACCTATACATTGTAATTACACTGTGTATAAATAACGATTAAAATGTCACACAAAAAACGTTTGATTGCCTACTTATCTTCCTACCGCGTATAGATATAAAGAGCCCCGAAAGTTCCAATAAGCACACTATTCCAAAATGATCGAACCGGAATTGTGGGGCCAAAACAACGACTTGACGACGTTCGTCAACGTCGACTACATGCGGAAATATAAAGATTGGTTCGATTGGAAGGAGGGCTCGTCGATCTTCGAATTCGGGATGGGCGATGGGAGGAACGTGAGGGAGGCTCTCTTCCCGTTCATGCCGGAAAACATCAAGGAATACGTGGGAAGCGACGTTTCGCCCGAAATGGTGGATCACGCTAAGAAGACTTTATCCTCGCCCAAAGCCAGTTTCATCGTGCTGGACATTTGCTCCGAAGCTATACCCGAGGACTTGGTGAACCGCTTCGATGTTGTGTTCGGGTTTTTCGTGATGCACTGGGTCCAAAACACCAGGTAAGTTGTTTGTTAATTACACGTTTAGTATTATAATTTGTATTTTGCGAATTTTCAGGCAAGCGCTGCAAAATATGTATAAAATGTTGAAACCGAAGGGCCAGCTGTTTTTGACATACGTCGACTATGTTTCCACCGATGAATTTTACTGTAGTTCTTCGAAGCATCCGAAATGGCGTGTTTACAATCACGAAAGGATAATATCGCCGTATTTTAATCACCCTTGTGCACAGGATGTGTATAAAAAAGAGCTCTCCTTGGCCGGATTTCAAATAGTCACCTACGAAAGAACCAAGAAGGTGTACGAATTTCCCAATAAAGAATCTTTTATTGGTAGGTGTATTAATTTTCGCGAGAGAATACAAACTTACAGGCGTATTAAATTTTCAGGTTTCTGCTTGAGCGTCAATCCTATTTTAAGAGAAGTTTCTACAGAAGATTTTGAAGAGTACAAGCAATATTATTTGAAGAGTATGGAAAACAATAAACTGAACTTTACAAAAACATGTCCCAAAACAGGCCAGGTCACCTACAATTCCAGTTACGATCTCAATATGGTCTTGGCCTCAAAACATTGAATAATAGATGTAATAATCGAAAAAATAAGAAATTTTAATTTATATCTGATCAATTTTAAAGAAATAAAATAATAAAAACCATTGCGCAACTTCTTTTTCGTAATGTTTCAATTTTGGGACACTATCGCCAGATTAACGGGTCTTCAGATAATCTATCTGACGAAATAAGTCTAATATCATTTTTTTAAATTAAAGGCCAATTAAGGCGTTTATAGATTTTTTTGGAAGATTTTTATTGATTATAACTCCTTAGTATCTTCATTCTTCTAAATATCCTTTATTTACACACTTTCTGAAACATCCTATATATTTATTTGTAGGTTTTTGTTTTAGTTTTTTCGAAACACACAGGTTCATTTTATCTAACTATTTTGAGGACATTGGTAACAAGTTAATCATTGAAAATAAGCATATTTTCAAATTCAATGAAGATAAGCATTGAAAATTTTTTTCCATAATAACAAAAGTTGCGCAATAAATACGATAAATTTTACGACAAAAAGGTTTTTACCAATATTTTTAAGTAAATTTAGTGGCTAAAGGAGCTCAGTTTTTGAATTCTGAAAGTATAAGAATTCGTAAGTTTTTTTCTAATTTTCAAACTAATAACTTCTTATTTATCCAGTATTTAATAATTGAAATATTTGAAAATTCTTGATTTCCAAGACCACTCTTGCATTGAATTTATTTCAATTCTATACATTCATAATTTCAGAATTCCGTTTATAATTAAGTAATTAAATTAATTTTATTTTCAAATATTTTTTTAATAATCGAGTTACTCTAATTACAGAAGGCATGCTAATTTGTTTTTAGTAATTTTTGTAATAATAAGAAGAGAAATTTTTCTTAAATTCTAATTGTAAGTAATAATTTCACTTATAGAACAAAATGATTGAACCGAAACTGTGGAGCGAAAGCAACGACATAACAATCCAACCCAACATTGAGTACCTCAACAAACTAAAGCCTTTATTTCGATGGAAAAGGGACGAATCCATCTTCGAGTACGGCATGGGCGATGGTAGCAACACCGAAAAAGTGTTGCTACCATTCCTACCACCCGATTTCAAAGAATACATCGGCACCGACGTGTCGGAGAAAATGGTCCAAAGCGCCAAGGAAACCCTCCAGGATCCCAGAATCCAAACCATTGTATTAGATATAGGAAACGGCGACGTTTCCAACGAGTTCCAAAATCGCTTCGATCACCTATTTTCATTCTTCGTGATGCATTGGGTTCGACACACCAAGTACGTACGCTTCTATTAACAGTGAAAACAATTCGCAGAGTCTCACAAGTTTTGCTTAAAATGTAGAATACGTCTAGATTACTACTATCATAGTTAGCTTAATATACGATATTTTTTAGACAAACCATAGGTAACATTTACAAAATATTAAAACCCGGCGGTCAATTGTTCATGAATTATATAGAAAAATCATCGATGGATTACGTACACGAAGAAATGTCGAAGAACCCGAAATGGGGTAAATATGATCACAGGAAATGGATGTCTCCGTTCTTTAACAGTTCCAATCCGAGGGCGGAATATGAGAAGATCATACGCGATGCAGGATTTAAAAATGTCCAATATTTATCGGAAAAACGCCTGTATAAGTTTCCCAATAAGGAGTCGTTTATAGGTATACAATTAAGAGCAAATTTCTTTGTATGGGTGCAGCAAAGACAATTTCCAATAATCTCAAGAAAAAAGAAGAAGTTTAAAAGAACAAGAAAGTGTTATTGTGAGATGGCTACTTTCTCACTCTAACCACTGTTATTTTAATAATCTGTCTTTGTTCAACTCATAGAATTGGCCATATTGAAAACAAATTTGTACTTATACCCATTTCTCTAAATACGAGGGATGTTTCCAAAGTTCTGCTCTAATGTTGCACTGGATAGTTGCACAAACATATCAAGACTCGTCTGTCACCAATAACATGCCTGGAAGTTCCATGCATTTTAATTAGAACACAATTCCCAGAACTTTGGAAACATGCCTTGTATATTATATAACCAATGCCCTATAACCAATATCCCACGTGTTATTTTCAGGATTTTGCATCAGCTTAAACCCCATGCTACAAGAAGTGTCCGTGGAGGACTACGATGAATACAAAGAAGAATATTTAGAAAAAATGAAAAACAACCCATTAAATTTCACGTACGTAGATCCAAATACCGGAGAAATAGTTTACAACGCTACTTTCATATTAAACGTGGTGATGGCGGATAAATAAAAAAAATCTGCTAGTTTTTTTTTACTCAAAATGTTTGTTTTGCTAAAACCTTTATATTGCCTGCCAATTAACAACGTCTTTCTAATTATCCTACCTATACATTGTAATTACACTGTCTATAAATAACGATTAAAATGTCACACAAAAAATGTTTGATTGCCTACTTATCTTCCTACCGCTTTATAATTATAAAGAGACCCTAAAATTCCAATAAGCGCGCTTGTTGAAATCGAAGGGCCAGCTGTTTCTGACATTCGTCGACTATGTTTCCACTGATGAATTTTACTGTAGTTCTTCGAAACATCCGAAATGGCGTGTTTAGAATCACGAAAGGATAATATCGCCGTATTTTAATCACCCGTGTGCACAGGATGTGTATAAAAAGGAGCTCTCCTTGGCCGGATTTCGAATTGTCACCTACGAAAGGACCAAGAAGGTGTACGAATTTCCCAATAAAGAATCTTTCATTGGTAGGCGTTTTAATTTTCGCCAGAGAATATAAACTTACAGGCGTATTAAATTTTCAGGTTTCTGCTTGAGCATCAATCCTATTTTAAGAGAAGTTTCTACAGAAGATTTTGAAGAGTACCAGCAATATTATTTGAAGAGTATGGAAAACAATAAACTGAACTTTACAAAAACATGTCCCAAAACAGGCTAGGTCACTTACAATTCCAGTTACGATCTAAATATGGTCTTGGCCTCAAAAAATTGAATAATAGATGTAAAAATCGGAAAAAATAGAAATTTTAATTCATATATAATCAATTTAAAGAAATAAAATAATAAAAACCATTGCGCAACTTCTTTTTCGTATAAATAATAAAAATTATTGGGTAAATTCTCTTTCTTTTTCATTACAAAGCTAATCCTGCCCTGTTGCGAACTATCAATCATTAGATTAGCAATGAGATTGCAATGAAAATTGGTCAATTATATAAATATTTTTTTCATACATAAAATTACATTTATTCACTAAAAATGGCTGGATATTATGTGCTTATGCTAATTCTGTCGTTGTTGTCGTTGGCAAATTGCGCCTATGGTGAGAAAATTACCGACAGAAAAATAACCGATATTCAATTGGGAACTACCACTGAAGAGCCACAAAATTTCATCGTGAATGTAAAGTGCAGATATGGGTACATTTTAGTTCGCGGAAAGTGCAGGAAGGTTTTTTCAGAGATGTGATCTTTGCGTGTGCATGCGTAGCTAATATTAACCATGGGTAAACAACCAGATTTATTATTAAATATGTACTTACATTAAATATTTTATGGCTTCTGTAAATAATGTTATTATAATTATTATAAAGATTAGTGTGTTATTAACGTTTTATTTCTTGTTAGTTACAATGGTGTTAAATTTTGTGTTTTTTTTATCGTAAAATAAGCAACTTTGCAAACTTTATTATCTTGCTCTTTGAATTGTGTATAAAAACTCATTTATAAATTATTTAATGTTTAAAGACTATTTTTAAATTAATTATTTTTATTTTATTTGAACGCCTAATCTAACATTTATAGTGAAGTTATATTAGCTTCAATTAGATATTTTGAAATAAAGATGCGAAACATACAAAACAAACTCTTCTCCTGTAATGATAATTCCTTCCCAAAGCCAGTCCAGTCCTGCTATCAACGGTCTACCACTGATAGAAGCGGGTCACGGTTATAAATAAATATTTTGATGTATTTTCATTAAACGAAAAGTGTTAAAATGGCTAGATATTACACTATTGTGTTATTGCTTTCATTGGTGGTATTGGTAAATTGCGCCAAGGGAGAAATGATGTCTTATGGCGATTTTTTTAAAACCAATTTGGAACAAACCACTGAATCGCCGAAGGAAGCTCACATTATCAATGTAAAGTGCAAGTTTGGATACATTCTCGTACACAGAAAGTGCAGGAAGGTATTTTAGGTACGTTTTAATCATTTATTAATAGATACCTTGTGTAAACATTTTTTATTTGTTTCAGTAAGAAATTCTGCAACTGATGTAAAACGAAAGAAGCCATTATTAAATTATTATAGAACGTTAATTTATTCTAGACTTTAGTACTACAACCGATTAGGCAATAAGTTTTATCTTTTGTAAATAATTACTTAAAACGAAACATTTGTGTTTTTTTTTAATTCATTTATAGGATATCATCAAATTATTTCATGATTTCTTATCCATAATGCAAGAAACTGTAGAAGATAAATTAAATACACAACATAAGAATGTACAAAAATTTTAATTTTAAGTCAGTCCAGCCCTGCTACGAACTTTGACAGAAAAGATACAAGCGGGTCAAATTTATAAATAATTTTTTTGATATGTATTTCATACACGAAAAGTGTTAAAATGTCCGGATATTACACGCTTGTTCTATTGTTGTCGTTGGTGTTATTGGAAAATTGCGCCAATGGAGACGTGATGTCTTACGGTGATTTTTTCAAAATTCAATCAGGATTTACCACTGAAGCCCCATTGCAGGCGAATATTATCGATGTAAAGTGCAAATTAGGGTATATTCGGGTCCACAGAAAGTGCAGGAAAGTGTATTAGGTTTGTATGTTTAGTAGCATGTGTAATAGTGTTAAAGTTATTTTTATATTTCTAATAATACTATTAATGTTTTGTTTATTTCAGCAATAGTCTCCACGATTAAACGAGGGAAATTAAATTTTAAATTTTTGGAAGATTAATTTATGATGGACTTTTATGTACATACTTATAGCAATTAGGCAATGAATCTTATCTTTGTATTGTAAATAAAGACATATAAGGAAATATTTGGTTTGTTTTAATTATATAAATTCATTTATATTGTGTCATTAAATGATTTTAATGAATTAGAACGTATAGTATGTAACGTATATTGAGTGGAATCATTTTTATTTCATAATAATTTTACTTTGAAGAACATCATTTGAATATATCATTTGGTGAAAATACAATATTCTCTGATCGATTCTCAGTAATATTTAGATTATTTAAATATGCAAAATTTCCTAAATACAACTCTGTCGAATATCTTTCTGTTATCAGAAAGTGTTTTAATTTTTTTTACTTTTTTTAAATAAATATTGCCATCTCGGAGAGAATGTTTTCACTACAATTTCCACTGTTACAGAAAATTGTTAATTTTTGCATACAGTTTAATTTGTTGACAACAGAATGAATAATTTGTTCTGTATTTCCTAAATTTTTGAAATTTTTAATAAGTCTGTTATCGAGAAAAATTAATTACATGCAATACTTTTAGACTTAAATGCAACTCTTACTTGCAATTCTTACACTTAAATTAGTTCAAAGTATTTTCCAGACACTCTCAAATGTCAATAGTGCAGGAGAAAGTGGGTGAAAAATTTTTATTTTCTTTATAAGAAAATGAAACACTTTTCTATCGATTTAATAACATTTTCATTTACATAATAAAATCAAGATTTGTACGCACTGTAAGTTACGTATTTTGCGTTTCAGAAATTAGTTTTAATACTATTTCACAATATTGTTAAATTTTGACTTATGAAATTCAATCAAGGCCTGATAAATTTCAAATGCGCATTAATTGTTTTTATTGTGAAATTGTCTTTTCAAAGAACGTGAGATGTAATTTTTAGAAAATTGCCTGCAATTTCCAAATTATGACTAATTTGATTTATTTATTATTGACATTTTATTGAAGGAGTAATTGCAATTAATAATGCATTTGCTTTAAAAGATACACAACTAAAAACAAGCTACTTTGTATGTGGTATCACATACAGTACAATTAAACGAAGCGATAAAAAATTATTGTTACTTTTTTACAAGAAAACTTCGATAAATTAATTAATGAACTCTTGTTATTAAGTGGAAAATAATAATCTTTTCGCAAAATAAAGCATTATTCAAGCGAAAACAAAAACTTTCCATGCCGATAAAGAAATGTTGATTTTTTTACACTACATATTACATTTTCAACATTGCTTCAATCGGCGAAAAAAATGTTTCGATTGCGAAATTTCAAAGAATTCGAGCTAATGTAGTTTACATACGCCGCCGCTATCTAAATCAATTAATAATATTTATTATTTACCATTGATACCCCACAGAATATTCGTTTAAATATCTAAATCTAATTTTCGGCATGTCGTCGGGGTTATCGCAGAGGTGATATGTAGTCAAACTCGACCGACTCTCGTTTAATGCACCCGAATTTCAACTTTCAATTCGTTATCCGAAAGGGTTAACCAGAAATAGTTTACCTAACAAGTGCGGAAAGTGATATTTTTCCGAACAAAACTGCAGTTGAACGAACCACTGGTGGAGTTATGTATGTGTGGGGAAAATTCATTTACCGCAAGTGTTCCAAATTTATGGTCAATGGTTGCAAAAATCGCTCGTCATTTGAATTATTTCTCGTTCTCTTTCATTTTATTAGTAGACTAATAAAATAATTTTAGTAATTTTGAGGGTTGAATTTGAATTATTAGAAAGGGCAACTAGTCACAACTTCCAATTAATTATACACACTTTAGGGCTAGCAGAATTGAGCTTTTATTGACTAGGGAATTACGTTGCACTCAATTGTACGTCGAGGATCAATAAACAAAATATTATTATTAATCCATTGATTAATTAATATGAATGCACGGAGCATTGCTTCGATTATATTATTCAATGAAGTGCTGTTTGTAAATATTTTTTAGAGCAAACAAATCGTTTTTTTTTTAATAAATTCTACATCTCTACATTTGTTGTTTTTTTTTGTGGAGGTTAAAGACTTTTACTATCGTGTATCTGGATAAACTACAATTTAATATCGATTGTTTTAAAATGGTGATCGTATTATTGTAAATTAAAGACGAGTTTATTGTCTGTTCATTAATGAAAAGTGATTATACATATATTTTTGGCGAGCGATACATTAGGATAATATTAAAATTAGAATAAATTGATTAATTTATTATTAATAATTTTATTTTGCTTAAAATACCCAGGCAATTCTCACCTAATTTTCTACGAATAATTACGAAACGCACACAAATGCAGAAATGCAATTAATTATTTTCTTCGAATAAAACTACAACTCTCATTATGAAAACAAACTTGTTTATTTAGAATTTATCAATGCACATATGGTAAGACATAATAATAAACTATTGAATAAGCTCAATAACTTTATAATGTTGGTTACATTAAGGAAAACTACTAAACGATAAAATAAATTTTCAGCGCATTGCAAAAATACCTTATCAAACTATCTTAGAAAGATAACGTTATTTCATAAATGAATATTTAGGGAACTTTTGCAAAAATTTCGTTAATTCTTCACACAAATTAATATTGAATCGAAGAAATCAGTGGACCTGAAAAAAATTTTTTTAAATAAAAATTATATTAAAAAATGCAAGTTTGTTTGCAATATTATAAATTAAAAAAAACAGTTGGAATGAGAAACTTGTAATCACACAATATCACTCTTTCTTTTTACTTTAGGTATATGAGACTAATAGCAGTTGTCTTTGTTGCTCCCATAGCCTATATTTGGCTATGTGCAAATATATTTGCACAATTTGGCATCTACCTGTAAATAGGAATTTTATTAATGAAACTTACTATTGCAATTATGCCTCTAATACTTGGTAGCATTTTCTTCCACGGGAAATATATCCTTTTTTACAAGGCACTTTAATCAAGCTTTGCAAAACGAATGTTTCGTTATTTTTGGCGATTGCAAAAGTAATTGCAATTACAACAATTAGTACAAAAATGATACTTCTGATGTTCCACATCTTGTCAGCAAAATTGCAATTCGATTATATAAATTATGAGGGTATTACTTGAATTTTTAGACTGTATGACTACTATAATCTCAAAGATAAAAGATAAGGATAAGTAGTGTGAATCAATGATTATTTTGATGAAACCGAACATTTTATTTTTAACCAGGTTTTCCTGAAAAAATTCGTAGGTACCTAAAATGTACTGAATTTCAGTCGCAAATAGGTGTAATTTAAAAATTTTCCAAACTATTAATTAAAAAGCTTATCGGAATAAAGAATTGGACATGTTTGCGATAACCCCATTGAGCATATGAGCATGTGAACTCGCTTAATCAAATGATCTGGTTACGGTCGTTGGTCTTAATTGAGTCAAAAATAATCAACTTCTGATAATTTTGATGTAATTTAAATTTTAAAATTGATTACCCAACAAAATGGAAATGAAACATTTATTTTCCTCCTTCACTAATCATTAAATAAGGTAGGTAAGTTGGTAAAATATGCCTCATTTTCATTCAAACTAAAGTAAATGCAGATAGAGTTTATGTTACAGAAAAGTACTTATTCATTTCATTGGTACCAGCTCACACGTCTCAAATTAAATTTATTGGAAAATATATTTCTTAAAAATTTTCATATCTTTCTTGTAATGGATTGACGAATATCTGTTTCAACCGAAAAAAAACATCGGAAAATCCTCTTTATCGCTCGTTTCTCATACATCGCTTATGTATAACAAACTTCTTGGAAAAGTAATGTACGAAATTTTTTTACAGAACTCACAGAATATATCTCCAAACAATTAATTAATTGATGATAGTAAATTATCAGTGAAACCGTTCGTACCAGTCAGTTTGCCACCACGCAACCAGTGGCGTACATAAATGAATTTTATCCCATTTAATTTATCAACAGTTTCTGTGCTTCCCCTACATTGCACTTAAATTATTAGTAAAAACTTAAAAGTTATTAGTAGTAAAATATTCTTGAATAGAGAATAAAGGTTTTTCATCGATGTGCCTTCTAGATTTCCTATAAAGAATCGATAATATTTGACAACTGACATCTGTCAATTGATGTTTGACAATTGGTGTTTGACATTTGAGATTAGTTATTTAAAAATAACTGGAAATCGATATTAAAATTTGATTAAACGTGAAAATTGTAATAAATTTAAGAATGTTGTGTATATAATAAAAAAATCGCCGCCCATGCCTATGACCTTTAGCATATTATCGTATACATTCACACGAAATGAATCAGTTGTATCGAAATCACTTGTCAATTTACTTCGGATTAGTCCTGTATGGTCCGTTTACGTTCGGTCTTTAACAGAATAATATAATAATGAGGAAAATTGCGAGGTTTTGTTTCCTGTTGTTGATGCTCACCGTCGGTTTCTTGCTGGCCTATCCGTCGAACACAAACAGTGAAGGAATCAGCATTAGTGAACCCATCATAGACAAGGCGAACAAATCGGTGTGTCTGTATGGATTCGAATTGAGAAATGGCACCTGTAACGAGATTTTCTGATGCGTAACGTGAGTATATTTCTTACTTTTTTTCTTTGTCGCCATTTTGTCGATCAAATTTGAAATTCATTAGACGCGTCAGTGTTACCAACGCAAATTTTGACATTCACAGCCAACTTTTCGATATGTGTCAAATAAAAGGTATCGAATGTGAAAATAATGAAATATTCTCTAACTTAAGAGCTGTAAAATGAGTTTCTTTTTCATAACATCAAGGGAGTCCGTAAGCAAAATTAGGAAAACGCTCTTCCAATTTGGATAATGATAGTAGTTTATCAATCTTACAACAAAAGATGTTTTAAATTAAACCCGATTTAAGCCGGTTCGTCTTGAAAGTGCGACGCAGAGCCGTCGGAAAATGGTTAAAAAATTGTCATTACATTTGTTTAACTGGGTCATCATTGAGCTATATCGACGTAGTTAATTTCGATAACGGATGTCAAAGATCAGAATTATTAAACGACACATGTTAAACGTACCTAAGATGGCCTAATCGCTCCGATAAAAATTATCTATTGGAAAAAGTTGTGCAATTTCTAAGATGACCGACAATAAAATTTTTCGTATGCAAAACTCGAATGTTTTTCTCTTCACATTTTACTATTTCTATTACTTCTTACTAATCGTGTTTTATATTTTTTAGGTTGCAAGCGGCGTAACCGAAGAAAACACATGTGATTATTACATTATTTATTAACTATTTATTATAGTTTACAACAAAAATGATCAGACGTAAAAAAAGGAAATCAAAATATCCCGCAAGTTAAAAAGGAAAAATTAATACAAACTACATAATTTTATCACAGAATGAACCTAAATCACAAATCGCAGAACATGAAATTTAATTTATTTAAAAAGATACATACTTAGTTTAAAAGCATTTGAATTTAATCCATTTTTCTAGCGTATATGCAGTGTTTTAATCTAACAAACTTAAATTTGTATATATTGTAGATTAAGTCAGAATGTAAATATTTTCACCAGTTGTTTCAAAACTCGAATAAAATGAATAGCAACATTTTAGTAATTCACTTTTGCAAGTGCAACAAATAAATAGAAACAAATTTTGTAACGGTACTTATTCGGTATATTTAGCGACTTAAAATATTTCTTACTATACACAATAATATGTTGTAGGTTACGAAAGTGCGTCAGGTTTTTTTGACCTAATTAGTTTTGTAAATTCATTAGTATTAATATTTAGTAGATTGTAATTAATTAGTTAATCCATTGTAAGTACCTACCTAATCGAATGGTGTGTGTAAGATGTTAATAAATTTTCGTTATTGGGTTTCTGAGTATTATTTTATTAGACATACCTCTCTACTTGTTATGAACACAATAAATGTATAATACAACAGGAATAATAACATTTTGAATTAACTTTAGTATGTGTATATTTTTCCAAAGTTCTTTTTCCAATCTTACACGCGCCTATTTCCGCAAACTTTTTGATATTTCATCTACTTTACGTTTGAAATTTCGAGAATCTGCGAAGTTTAATAGTTATTTAAGAGCTCATTATTTTGGAGAAATTGTTTCAGGAAACTTTCGGGCCCATTTACACCTACAATTTTCTGTTGGGAAGTTGATTTAACGGTCGTGTCAGCCAACTGGGATGCTCTCCCTCCGAACAAATCGAAATTTACCTTTATTAAATTAAACAAATAATTAATTATAATCGAAGAATTTTTAATACTTTCATATTTAACACAGTTATGTTTTCGCCTTACTATAGCCTCTTAAAAAATAGATTAATTAAATGTCTGCCTGGCTCGAATTTATTGTTGTACCCCGAAATTTACGAGACGAACTTTCTGGAACCAATAAATAATTCAAATTGGAATTCAATAATTCGAACCTTGAACCTGAATCGATCTCATTATCACCAGCTAATTAATTTTTTTACGGACTCTCCTTGCGCACCCGTGATCTGTGATCTGTTGTTTGTTATTTTCCATTCGGATATTTTCCCAATTAAAAGTTATTGAAACAGTGTGGGTACCACCTCTATCAATTCAAATTTATCTAAACGAGTGACGGGTGAGTCATGTAATCAGGAAATCGAATGAAATTAAATTAGGTGAATTGATTTTTCGCGGTTTGAGATTGTATTAAATATTAAAAGTCACCTTATAAATACTTAGATATTATTTATGGAAAGTAGTAGATTAGTATTTTTAGATAGAACTTTTACGAATCGGTTTCGAAACACTGTAGGTATTACTTCAAATAGAACACTCTATTTGGTGTCTATTGCACACACAATTCATATTTTATCTACATTAGGAAACTATGTGCTTCTATATTTCTATTATTAAATTATCTAGCGCTAATTAATTTCGCAATTAGCTAGGATAGGATATGCGTAATGCGATTTCCCATGGCTTGCGGTTTCCTTTTCAGTTGCATTACACTGTTGATAAAACCCTAAATTTCCTTGTATTTATATAGTTATCAACGTGCGGATGTAGTTAAGAGATTTAATTTGCTTGTACGAGAAGCAGGTAACACCACAGTTTTAATAATGTTTCCTGCAAAATTGCTCGCTATTTTGGTGCTAATTGTATTCGCTTGTATTTTACTCGAAGAAGTGAATGGAATGGTGTATGCGCCACCTCTTCCTTGCCCACTAGGATACAGATACATTCATCGAAAATGTAGGAGGATTTTCTTTAAAAATCCTAAAAACTTTAAAAATGTAAGTAATAAAATATTGTAAAATATGAAAAAAATATATTAACTTATTTTACAGTTTATTTTTCGACCGGAACATTGACAATTAAAATGGTAAAAACCATCAGTAATATATTAATTAATTACAATATTTGTATCATTTACTAACTTGTGTATTTTAACTAGTGTTATCAATTAATCGAAATAAAATATAGTAGATAAACTAACATATTCTACTGGCTTTTGCATCTGTTTTTGTTCGCACGTTTTCATAATACTTACAGTACATTTAAATATGTACCAAATATTCAACAATTTTATTACTCAGTGTATTGGTTATAAACTCTTCTGCACATTCCTCTCAGCAGGATCTCATTTTTGCGACACGGTGAAACTGTCGGGTGAATATTAGTGAAGTTTCTTTCCCTGGGAACGTAAGCACACATCCCTTTCGCTACAAACATGGACATAATTAGTACCACAAATGCAAATAAAATGTATTTCATGTTGTTCGAACATAAACTCGATATCGTTTGATTGGGATTATTATAAGTAAATAATTTAGATATCGTAATTTTAGAAATAAAATATCTCCATTGGCGTAGAAGTACGAATTGAAAACAGTGTATAGAATTTTTGGAAATTGCGGCCGGTAAGTTTTTATTATTTTCGAAGCAATTTCCGAAGCCCCCCGTTTTTTTCAATTCCACCCGGCCCCGCCTTCGACCTAATCCTCGGCGGTTAGGTAATGTTTATATGTATGTCCTCGCGAAGGATCAGGTCGAGCCGGGATCCGGGAAGCCCGGGACGAGTCTCACTTGTTATAATAAACCAGCTAAGCCGGCCGTCTTAGATTCATGATGTCATAATTCATGCTTAGTGTCAGCCGCCTCGGGCGGAAATGTCTCACTTCCTTCTGGTGCTCCTTTTGTTTTTGCCTTCCTCATTGTTTACTCGGTTCTTAGAAAGTAGGCGTGCGCGCGAATTGCGTGAGGTAGGATTAAGCAAAAGGCCTGATTAAATAAAATCTACTATTAAATCCAGCGATTTTGGTGACAGTTGACAGGTATGTGGTGCTGCGCCTACGTTTTCAAACAGCCAATCGAACGAATTTTCTAACCGGAAAACCGAACTGCGGTATATATATTTATACTATACTTGTATTCGGAAACGAATCGAATTATAAGACGAATAAAAAAGAATCGACAATGGGAGGTCGAGAGCGGCCAACAGACTGAAAATGATTTAGAAACGAAAATGCATTCAGCCCCTGTGAAATATGGTGACACGGTGTCACCACCTCGATTTCATTCAATGTATTGAATTTTATTGAATGCTCTTCAATTTATGTATCTGACTTTTTAGACGATTTATTATTGTTTCGTAAATTATTGCCGAAGGAGAATATGCCATTGTGGCGTTTATTTTACATCACTTCGCCGTATTCTACAGAGCTGTCGTATTTCCTTTGAAAAAATTAAAATGCAGCGTTGCCGCTTCGTTCCGTAATATTTAATTATTCAGAAAAATGAGCAGGATAATTAATCGGAGAAAATGCTCGGTGCAGGCGGGAAAAAAACTTAAACGTGCGATTCCTATAGGGAAAAATTCATCAGAGGTCGGTAATTACTTATTACGGAATGGCCCCCGGTCGGCAATAAAACGGCGCAGCGCCATCCAGTCTTCGAATTTCTTTTCACCTATCAACAATCTCGTGTGTAGTCAATTTTTCCATTTAGCTCCCGAGAAAATAACGACCCTCGTGGGCTTAGGGGCTCACTGAACTATATACAGCTTTTCACGATATTATAACTTTTTATTACTTTATGTTTTTTGGCCTTTTTTTATAGGACCGAATAAAAAAACGGATTCACTGCACAATATTACCTACCTACATACATAAGCAATATTTGTGAATTTGCAATTGCCAATTAAGTATAACTGCATATTTAAGATAGTAAAGAAGATATTACCGAAAGAAATGACATTTTATAATCAGTCGCATCAAAATGTCAGGTGAAAAATGAACAAATTCGCGTTTCTGTTTCTAATTGTAATGGTACACATTTTAAAGAGAAGCAAAACTCCTTCGTTGGCGTTCAGAACTTGCGAGGAATTCCTAACCAGTTGCGTTCTGTCCATGTTTATTAACGTTCTAATCGCTCTAATTTATCCGAAATTTAGTCCAAGAAGGTACACAGGATCTTATTTTGGTAACGAAAATATAGAAACCCTAATGAACTAATCAAAGTACCTATCCGATTATACAGAATAAAATATTGAATGCTTCTTCGTTAAACAGTTTATTCATTTATAATGCAAAGAGGTATAACAGTATGGTCTGCAATAATGTAAATAGATTGAATCATGGATCGTCGATAACAATTTGCCTCAACTACAAATCATATATAGGATATCATTTAATAATTATCCTAGTTCTGCATTAACGGAGCCGATTCGAAAATTTACGAATAAATCATCGGCATTACGCGCAAAAGTTATATATGGAACCGGTTCCATCGTTGGCTCCTACCTACATTTTAATTTCCTGTTTTGTGATCCTATTATGTATCCAATACACGGCCGGAAGTGACGTCCAAGTTCGATTGATTTCGGCCACCGCTATTAGTCTTCCTGCCGTTCGAATTGGAACAATGGCGGGACCCGAAGGCTTCCTTGGCGTTTCTAATTAATTTTTATGCCGGCGAATCAAACCTTACAGCTGCTGATACGATTGCGGAACTCATTAACGCGCACGAGCGTCGCGACGCCGCTTTTTCCCAGCCAGCGATGCCAATTTGAATTCCGGTCCTCGTTTAATGTTTACGGTGTACGACAATGTATTGGGAACGGTCGCTTCGGGATCTCTCTGGACGGTATCCAGACCGGCCGAGACCGAAAAGCAATTCCAAACTTGTCCGGTACTCATCGTAAATAGTGTTTTGCTCATTAAAAGTTGAATTGATTTCGTTCCGATTCGATTGCTCCACCGTAAACCGAAAGATGTTAAGTTAAACGATTGCATTGTGTGTATTCCGTTTTTGGCTGGATCAAGAGGAAATTAAATTGTCTCTAATGTATAAAAGGCGCCTGCTACTCGACAATATTAACCGCAAATTAAATCGACGTTTTTATTTCGATTATATTTTACGACAAAAGGAATATTTGAATTGGCAATATTAAGGGTCAATTTGGAGCTGGTACTCGATTAAATATGTAGCGTATGTTATTGCATTTCGTCATGTCAAATGCGCTTTCCTTAATACGGGACAGGCAGAGCAATCCGAATCATCTGTAAGGATATTAGATGTCAGTCAAAGGGGATATTTGCAACAATTACCTGCCCAAAACGGGCATGGTCGACAAGAGGATTCGCGCCGGAAATGAGTATGCTTAATACATGATTGAATTTAGTGTTTGATGCTTCCTATTATCAGAATGTCCAGAGGGACATTCGAAATTTCATATAATTAAGAATAGTCGAAGAAGAGACGAATAGACCAAGTTTAATTCGTTTAATTACACGGTGCTCTTTATGTTCGTTAATTAAACTGTGTTTCATAAACGAACAATTTTTTGAAAATTTTAGTAACATTCATTTTTCTCCTTTAAACCTGGAAAAACCAGGAAATTGTAATGATAGCAATTGTATGCTACATTATTTTCCAATAAATAACAAAATTCAATCTACATCGATGCAATCGTTCAGATGGAAACCATTTACAATTATAAAATAAAAATTGCCTATCTCTTATAAACGGTAGAAATACAATCGGTTTTTTTTCCGTTGGTCCATTAAGCTAGCATAATTCGTTTAATTTATTAGTGCCAATATATAACTCACAGAGAATTTTAATTTTCACGTTAAAACAAATATGAAATGTAGTGGACACATGTATTGAAATATACAGTTTGTAAAGCCGGATTTGATATGCCAGTTGACTGCGTGCTTTTTTCATATAGAATTTGACTGAAAATATCTTTCTTTTGTATCATTTAGATACAAAATTGTAGGGAGATATAAATTTGCTTTAGCAAAATAATGAGAATACTGATTAATCCTAAAAGTTGCCTGGTATTCAGTTCATCAAATATCTACTAAACATTTTTGTTACAAGAGGTACAGTAAGAAGTGCAATATTTTCTAATTGATCTAATAATTAGTAAATTTATATTTTATAAGTAAAAATTCTCACAAAAATATGTTGCTGAATAAAGGTAGAAGGAAAATATATCATGTTGATCGTACCTACGTATACGTTATGGTTAACACTTGTGTGACATTAAACTTTTCCGAGTAATAAATAAGGTTAAAATGACTGTAATCTTGAGTTATGTCGGAAATAAGGATCTCTTTTGCCCTCTAAAAACGTGTGTTTCCGAAGAATAATGCTATTTATAAGGTAACATGAAGAGAAGAATATATTTGATATGATTCATGTTTAGATTTTTTTTCTGAATAGATTTTCAGTGCATTTATTTTGTAATAATAAAACTAAGCCAAGCTAAAAAGTTTCTCGGAAATATAAAACATATTACAAAAATTAATACTATTGGATATCCGGAAAACTAGAAGATTTTTCTCCAGTTAACTCCATTTAACTTGAACGACTCGGTTTTAATAACCCGATTAACTTGAATTTCGGAAGCATATAACTTTTGCCGCAGCATTATAAGACTATCCTTATTTTAGTGCAATACTACCGGCGTATTCTTACGTGAGAAGAATACTCCAACATTCAATTCTGAATACCAATGTGGATTACTTACCATTACTCTACTTTACATCAAATATAGATACGAGTTAAGGTCGCAGGAAGTTTGAAATATTGATAATTGTAGTGGAAAGTAGGTGAGAATATTTTAGTTTTAGTGATATTTCGTGATAAAAAATGAGTTAATACGTCTACTAATGATATAAAATTTAAATAATTTTGTATACAAAAACCTTCTGATCCGGTACTGTAGTAACATCATAATAACATGTGATAACCTTTGAGATCATTTATGTAATTTATCATGCCTTCAAAGATGAATACATTTAACGACAATTCGTACAATAAATTCGCGAGTGGAGAGTTTATATTTTTTTACACGTACGTATACCACTCATGAATTTTTTTAAACATATTTTTATTACTTACCCACTCTTTATACAGCAAACTTCTCTCTCCAAACTTTGAGCAATTATGCATTAATTAGGGAGTTGAATCATTAATTCTCGTTCCAGAAAATGAAGTGGTTTTTGCTCGTTTCATTCACAATCTTATTGCACTCATCCCTGCAATCCTGCGTATCGAAACGCGGTGTAACAACCTGCACGGAGAACGCGCTACCCAGGAGCGGCCCGATGAGAATCGAAAACTACCAAAACTTGGTCGAATTTACCCCGGGACATTTGCGGATTATTCCCAGCGGAATCTTTCGATTGTTGACAGAATTGAAGATACTCTTCCTAAGCAGTAACGAAATATCTACCGTCGAAATTGGAGCTTTCGATGGGTTGTACAACTTGGAAAAATTGTCGCTGTACGCCAACAAACTGGAAACTATCCCGGCAGGCGTGTTTAGAGATTTGAGGAGCTTGAAAGAGCTGAACTTGGGCATGAATCAAATCGCTAGCATATCAGAAGACGCTTTCGCTGGTTTGCTTCAATTAGAGGTGCTCAATCTGGGCTTCAACCAATTATCAACCGTTCCAGAAGCTTTGAAAATGCTGCGAACTCTTAAAGTTCTCAGTATTAAAAACAACCAACTGAAAAAAATCCTTCCTCATTCGTTTGGAACATTGGGAAGTTTGGAAATTTTAAATTTGTCGGACAACGGTATTACGGAAGTACAAAATAAGGCTTTTAAAGGTCTAATTAAAGTCGAGGAATTGGATTTAAAGTCGAATTATTTGGCCAAGTTAAATATTCAGGATATTTTGGAGGACTTGAGGGAATTGAAGACGCTAAAATTAGCCGTGAATTCGTTCAGTTGTAACAATTTGAAGGAGATTGACAATGTGTTAAAGAGAAAAAGGATTACATTAGCGAGTGGGTATTATAATAAACCCGGGAGTAAAACGTACAATGGAATGGTTTGTACAGTGTAATTAATTTTAAAAATTGTTATATATATCGGGGAATAAAACATCAGGATATTTACAATGGGCATATATTTTTTCAAAATAATTAAATTCTCAACATATATTAAATTGTTATAAACAGCTTATTCAATATTCAGGCTAGTTTTAATCTATTTTTATACACAATTTCTCTATAAAATACTCATTCAGTATTTTTTCGGTAACGATTTAGGCCTAAAATATATCAAATTCGAAACGAAATTACAAATAATATTGAGTCAGTAAAAGCTTTCACTTCCGATATTACATTTTTTTTTAAATCAGAACGAATAAAACGTACATAGGTGATATACCTAATAAATCATAAACAATTTCGTCTAGATCCTAATAACCTCTAATTTCTAAAAACGAAAGCACATTTGGAACATAACATCAGTCGAACGCAAGTATTCATATGTTTGCAAAATATGATATGTTTTACTTTCATTTAAACACTTTTTACAGTTTGGTCACTTCACTTTTCACACGATTTTACTTAATAGATAGAGCATGCTGTAAACGTTTATTGCGCATTATTGATATGCAGGAATGTTTCAGGAACAATGAAAAGAAAAACTTTTAAAACAAAATATTCGCCGAAATAAAATTAATTAACCCTTCGGCCGGAAAAACAAATATATTCTTTAATTTACGCTCCATCCCGGAACGCCCCAAGCAGAATTCCTTTTCATTATTCACTCGGGAGTTGCTGATAATTCTCGCGATATGATTCGTTTCACTGTCAATTGCAGTTCATGGGGCACACTTTTTCCTCAGGACTTTAGTGCTGCCTCCAACTGTTCGCCTTGTAGTAAACGTTATTGTACATGCTGGGACATTGCTTGGTCTGAAAAAGAAAAATAAATTTCCTTTAGTATACGCATTTCCAGGGTAACCTATAAACATGGGAGGTTTCGCTTCCTACGCGCATCATCATCGTTAATAAATTGAAATTTATAGGAGAAATTACCATGCAGGGTTCTCGAAAGATACACTCGGGGAAGTTTGCGACCCTAGTCAAAGGTGAATGGGAATGGGATCAGGATTGGTTTCAGTTACAGTTCCTGCTGGGCAACCATATTACCTTTAATAGCAGTATTTGGTGTTATACATGTATGATTGTTGAGTAGAATTGCTATTGAAACGATGAACTTAAAGGAGGAAAATAAGAGGGTTGTAGAAGCGTAGAGGAATAGAGTATTTTGTAAAATAATAAAACCGGATCTGGTCGACGAGATGAGGTGCACACGCGGTAATAGGATGTTTGTTGTGGATGTTTAGACAGCTGGCTTAAAATGATTTATGATAATCTTATTGTTGGAGTAACAACGGCAGCGATTATGTAGAGGTTGATATTAACAAGGTATGTTTAATCCCGCCAGTAAGTACATTGTTGCTCCTTTATTGCTTCCGTGCCGCTGCCGATGGTGAAGTTCGTGAGGCTCCCGCTCCGTGTCCTTTCGCTATCCTGACGTCCTCTGTTCGGATTTTAGGCCCGCTGAATGCACCGAGTCGGGGCCGCCGTTAAATGAAGCGGAAATTCTGAGGAAGTTTCAACTCGAACGATTCACAAATGGTTATGAATTTGGCAATTATCGGCCAGGAAAACCGAGCTACAGATGAATTTTGAACTATTGTAATTCCTTCGTAAAGAGTTCTGAATCGTCCGGAAATAATTTTAAATCGTTCTGAACTGTTATGAATAGCCGTGGATCGTTTCTAATCATTTTAACAAGAGTTGTAAGTGATTTTGGACATTTCTAAATGATTCTGGAGCGTTCTAAATTGTTCTAATTTGTTCTAAACGCTTCTAATTCTTTCTGAACAGTCATAAATGATTCTAGACAATTCTAGACAATTCTAGAATGTGGATTAATTGAAATCGAATATATATATATATATATATATATATAGGGGAATGTATTAAAATTATGAGTATTAAAATATACAGTGCAAATAATTTGTGGGTGAGTAAGGATATTAAAGGACTAAGAAAGATGAAAGGTGGCTTGATTTCAGAGCGGTTCCGGGACAGCCTGTATAAGTACAAAAATTTTTGATTAAAATTGAAATATTAAACAACCCCCGGTCGAGTAAATAGTGAAACACAATTTAACCGACATTCGCAAAACAAACGTTTTCCTCCTTTGCCGTTTAAAACGCCCCGTTTTAATACCATTCAAGCCCGCCAAACAAAGGAAAACTGTGGCGCTCAATAGCGACAAGATTTCCATTTAAAAGGCTTATTACTGTTTGCGGACTGATGGGAGTAAATACTTACATCACTACGGTGTTTAACATTGAAGTCAATATTTGTCCTCACCGGTCGATGGTGCAGCGGTTGCGGCGGTCTGAAATTGTTTCCTAAGGGCGCTTTCGGGTGTTTGGCGTCCCCCTGCATTAGTCTCCGGAGACCGAGCATCTGTAATAAAGAAAATTTCAAGTCGCCTTCGATTGCGGGACTCGAATCAGAAGTGGGACGCTCCGAAGGGCTCTCCCAAATCCACTGTATTCTAATGAACGCCTTACAGGCGTTTAGTGCGCCATATATTTTTTCTAATCCCTTCGAATAACCACGAGCAATTGCACGATAACAACTTTATAAACGTAACTCTCTCATAATCTTTTCTTCCAACCGACCGTCGAGGTTATCTTTTCCGGGTTTCTTTATTCGGAAGGTTCGTGAATAAATTTCAATTAATTATCGCGTTATGGATGTCTTATCGCGCAATTATACTCATGCAACGTTTTATTTCGCTGCGCTATTTTTACAAAACCCCTCCAATCCTGTTCTGGAGCGTCTGGAAATGTACCTACAATTTTCAATAGAGTGTTAAAGTTACGCGCAACCGGTCCTTAGAATCGTTTTATTAATAATTAATATACCTAAACTATGGATTAGAAATACTAACAGGACGGCAGGGCAGAAGCTATATTGCTCTTAAGGAGGGCCGCAGGCGTCGGAATCGGGCATCGCAGGAGAGGACGATGTGGAATCGGGCTGGGATTGTCGCCGCCGCAACACAAATCCCGTCTCGCCGCACGGGAAACGGAAACTGTGTCGCACTTTGAATTACATTTACGCCGGAGCAGCGACGGGCAAACTTTCAACTTTGCGCGCTCCTCCGCCGGCCCGAGCTTTGACGAGCGACCCACACGTTCGAGTTATGGGGGTTTGTTTTCGGCCCGCGGATAATTAACCGGATTCACTCCAGTTTTATTCGACATGTAATAAGTTTCCGTTTAACCGCCTCATCGGGATTATTTCGCGTGCACAAAGGTTTATTTATTCCCTTGCGCCTCAATCGAATCATAGCGAAATCGAAATCGATACAATCCCGAAATTGCCACTGTCTTAGCGGTGGATCCTTTGTCGCGATACCCTAATTAATTTCGAACATTATTGTAAAGGAAAACTAATATTCAGAAATTAATTACATAAGGCTTTATGTAACCGTTGGAAAGCTTTCGTATAAGCGTAAGAGGTTCGTTCGTCACGCAATGACGCGTCAAAGGTGTTCTCGAAGACATTAAGTTCTTCGCTGGAAATTATTACAATCACGCTATACACGGGGCTCTTTGTATGGAAATTTACCTTGGTAGCTCTAATAGTTTGAGTTGAACGGGAATTTATATTCTATACAAATCGTTAATCACATTAACATGTAGGAATAAATGTTTGTGAGCTCGTTAAAAACCGTTTTATTCGGAAATTGAGTGCTAATTAATTCTGGTAAAAAAAAGGTTGCAAAAAATTAACTACAGCTATATAAAAAAAACTGTTTTAAAATAATATTTTGCATGGATATGTTTCAATAAAGTAATTGGTTTGTGATGTTTATGAAATGGGGTAATTAGGTGATTAATAAAGCCGGCGTTAATAGAGCATTTGAGTGCTTGGATACGCAATTTGATTGGTCGAAATGATATTCGTTAATGTAAAATAATTACGGGCACATTGTTTTGCTCTTCATATATCCGCATGCGGGTGCAACTATCCAAATTAAAACAATGGCGATAATGAGACATAATGGACAAAAATTCATTTATGTTCTACCATATTTAGCTGGAATCGGAATGACGCACATCGCGGAATTACGCGTAAATTTTGCGTTGGCAGAAGAGTCTTGTGTAAATAATTTTCGGGGGATCCTGTCGAATTGAAATGGAAATCGACGGCATTAAAAATTAATCCGATTAACAACATTATGTTTATGCGCGAGGCGAAATCCTAAAAATAGAAAATCCCCTGGCTAAATGTTTTATTCAACCATTGTATAGGATATGCAAAATTTCCCCGAATCAATCGGTCGTTCGCGGGAACGTCAAAAATCAGGGAGTCAGCATTAGGTTAAAACGAGAGTCACAATGTGGCGAATGGAGTCGAATAATTTGGACGGCCATTGTTGTGCAAATGAGGCTTTTATTGGAATTTCCTGTAGAGTGCGTGTCGGCTGCCAGGGAGCTCGTCATGAAATAAGACAAATTTATTTTCTTCGGCCACTACGTTTCAGCTTTTTTGTTCTATAAACCGTTACAAAGTCCGTTGTACATCAATAAATAATCCTCGATTTTTCTCATTTTATTTATTCATTATTAAATGTTGAATTACGCAATTTTGCAGGATTTTGGCATTTCCAGCGGGCACATTAAAAATTTACTCCAGTAAGTACCAGCATAAATAAATGAATTGGAATAGTGGGTATTCAATTTTAATGAAACAATAGTATTGTTACCAGAAAATTTCGAAGCGCAACGAACGCGGTCGCAAAGTGATTTTCTTTATTATCTATTTTAATTAATTTAAACGTTTGTTCAACATTTTCGTTCAGTTTGGAAGCCCGATAGGGGAGAGCAAGGCGAGCTTGTGTGTATACACACACACGACAGGAATAAACATAATTAACTAAACTGATGCATATCTTACTTTCCTTTTAGTTGAGCAACACTTAATAAATTATGAATCGTCGAGTGTACACGCCTATCTGAATACACCGCCAAGGCCCTGTTGACATTCTTAATTTGATTAAACGATTATCCGTCATACCGAATTATCTACGTATTACTTAATTTTTGTTGCGTCATTAGGTATATCACAAATTATAATTTTTTGTAATAAATTGTAGTTGTTACTTTCGATGAAATTAGGTGCTTTAAGTGTACATCAATTAGCATTAATTTGAAATGATTTTTATGTAGCTTTTATGCCAGTCTGAGGATACATAAAGTCATCTCAATAATGCATAAATCTCGCTTATAGGTAATACATAGTAGTTAATAGTCTTCAATGGCGCGTATCGTTTCCGAAATTCCCCGACCACCTGAAAATTTATATTCGAACGCACTTCGGCTAATGACCAATTAATAATTTGCGTGTTATCTTCTGTCGGCGAAACGACCCTGCGAATGTGTCCCGAGTCGACTAACGGAAACAAATTAACTTATCCATCCTTCAGAGTAGCGGAGCTAGGCCGACTTTGCGACCCCGAACGGAACTAATAAATTTATGGAACTCTAATTTGCGTGAAATCTAATTTTATTGCGGAGGCGGGGTGGATGTTTCTCATTTTTCCGGCAAGTTTCTCATCCAGGACATTCCGGTCGCTCTTGAATAAATTATTTACCGGGATTTACCAAAATGCCGCAACGGTAAAGTGACACCTTGCAAAATTCCTGAGTGAAGTACAGCATTATGATTTGATTTGCAATATTCTACAAAAATCCACTACTTATGTATCTATTATTTCCAATCTCCTGTACAACAAGGCAACCTTTTGACAGCGAGTAAAATGTCAACCAACCTTCAAACGATACAGCAAGGATTTTCAGAGCCACCCCAGATTTCCTTTCCCACAAATTTACATATTTCCCGTTTTAAATACCTGTTGCTTGGTGATATAGATAGGCTTGTTGAGGATCAACCATGTGACTGTTTCGTGGCACGCCGGCATCGTCGTCGAGCCATCGTACGTCATGTAATAGTCGGTTTCTGGCAGAAGACCCCGCACTGAAAGCCTCTTCACCTCGATTTCTTCACCTGGAAACCAAAAATCGAATCGTCGAATCTAATTTATTCGAACCGCTTTTCGCGTTTTAACGTACCTCCGTATCTAATTTTCTCCAGTTGATCGGTCAGTATTCGAAGCTCCGGATTAGAAAGATCTCCCAACTGAAACGAATTTATTACAGAAGTATAAGTGGTTGAAGATAAGGTAGTTATTATACCAAGCACAGTCGTGTAGAAAATGGTTTATTTAAAAGTATATAAGGTAAAGTATAAGGGAAGGGAAATAGCGGCACGTAGAGTGGCAAACGTAACGTAAACGTAATTCTGATCCGGGGGGTTCACCGTTCGAAAACGCTCATAAAATTACTATACAATTCGGCATATCTTGCCGGAACTGGCTAGAGAGACATAAAGGAGAGCAAAACGCTACACCGCCGCCCTTCTTGTTATGCAAATTGTATTGTAGTCAAACTTTTAAAACCCCTTAAGCCGGCGGGTAATCATGCAAATTTCACCGTGTACCTGACTTTATTATAATTGCATTTTTCATTAGGGCGCGACGCGGCGGTTGTGCAGCCACTCTCGAGTACGAAACGCCGGTTCCGGTGCACTGTATTTTCATCTTCTTTTTTCTTCCCGCTCGGCGCAAGACAACAGAGGAAATATTAATGCGGATCCTCATTTATTTATGTACCTATATTATGGAATAAATATGTAATAGGTATTGAAGCAATATTGAGCTTTATGTAGTTTTGCTAGTTTCATTTGCGATCCATTAGTAAAACTTTTTCTAATATTAATCCCCCGAAAGTTGTAAATAATTGATTTCGTCAGAGTAATTATTTATCAGAGAATGATATGCAGTAAATAAACATTATTTCAGTTTCTGTGATTTCGTTCATTCCACATTAATATATTAATTAATAAAATTCATATTCATCATATTTTCAATAAAATTCCCATCAGAAGTAATAGCTAAAAATATCACATTCTATTTCGATGTCAATGGTATTTATTTCTATAACAATGTGACAATTATTTGGTTTTATGCCGAAATTAAATAAGCTTGTAAAAACTAAAATAAATGCATTTTAATTAAGCGTGAAATGCAACGGACAGTAATAAATATCATGTAATTCTTGTGGAATTGAAGGAAAAATGAATAAATTGCCATCAATTCAAAATTGTCAAAATAAATCGAGATATAAAATATAAAACAACTAATCTTTTAGATGTATTAAAAGTATAATTAAAAAGGTAAAAGGTACAATAGCAGTGCGACCTATGGTAATATTTCTGCGTATATTTAGAAGCTTATAGCGTGCCCTGTAAACTCCGGAAAGGTACGAATAATTGCCATAGTGTCCCCGGAGGGAAGACCAGACGGTAAACAACTCTCGCCCGAATCGATATTTTCATTCAAAAAATGTATTTTTCCGTTCTAAATTATTAACCCGCTTCATCAATGGCAAAGTCTTTAAAAAAACTCAAGCACCTAAGAAAGTTGAATGACTTTAGAAAATCGTAGCACGTAGCTCATATTATATTGACCCTTAGAGCACCAAAAATACATTGTATTTAATGATGGTTACTGTGAAAATAAATCAATTGAATCGTTGTAAACTTGAGATTTGCCCCCGACCAAACTCAATGCTCAAATGGTTCGGAATCGTCTGAAACAATAGGTAGCATCTAATCGATGAAATTTAATTAGTTTCGAGTTGAAATCCGCGTTGACAAAACAACAAGTTAAATATAAATAGAAGACCAGGCAAAGTTTATGTTTTGTTCTGTACCGAATACACTTGAGTTATAATTAAACCCGCTGATACCTCAGCCATAATTCATAGCAGGAGTTTGAGAAATGTACACACACCATTTTAGCAAGCGGATGATCATTTTGCAGAACTTTAAAATTTACGTCTGTCCGTGTACATTCCGAAAACAAACTAAATTACCGCATCAATTATTCATTCGATGATCAAAAAAAGCAGAGCGGGCAATTTTCCTGCCGGACCCATTTTACCGCCTCTAAGTCCCGGGTCGTGTGTTTATGTGGCATTTATTGGGCGCAAAAACACGAAGAAAAAGTTCAATTACAATTCGTAAAGTTTCCGCAACGGCCACCCCCCAGAGAAAAAGCGAGAGACATTAAAGACACTCACCTGCAAAAGAAGAGAAATAACAACGATCCCCTGGGCTTTGTGCAATGCCTCCGAGAAGTTGGAGTAAAGCTGCGAGTTGAAGCCGAAAATCTGGATCTGAAACGAAAAGGGCATCTGTTTATCTACACTCATAAAAATATTTATCTTAAATTTTCACTTGAAATTTACAAGGAATTAATAAAAAGTAAATACAACTTTAACAAATTAGTAACGAGTATATAAAGTTTACCAATTAAATATTAAAATGAAAGATTTTGAAAACATGTTTCATATAAAATAAATAATATAAATAGAAGTAAATAAATAAGAATTCTACCAGTAACAGTAAGGAAATGTAATGGAAAAAGGAGAAAATTTTGCTAAACAAGAGCAATGCTAATTGCTCACAGGAACACATCAATGCTAATTTTCCGAGCGACGAATTTTCTCTGAGTGTAAAAAACCAACTGAAAATCTGTGCTATGAAACAGGGCGGAATGTTCGATAGGTATGCGAGAGTTTCCATCCGCACAGATCTCTCCAATCATCACTTTATTGCTTTGGCGTTTATCGAATTTTCCACCCTAGTGTTTTCCTCTAGTCGGTGATTTTCTTTTTATTATTTTTTCCTCAAATATTGATACTCCGTTCGGGATTAAACCGAGGGTGTTTCTTCGCATGCCGTTTTCCCGAAAAAACAAGGAATAAATATCAAACTTTCGGATGAATTTTGCGGTTTCAAATTCGCAGTATCTCGCGAAGAAATTTAATTAAAATATTATTTAACTTCAAATATTGCCCGATAAATACTTTTAGGGCAATTTACTTATTAGTTTTACGGTGGGAAAGCCGGAAGAAAAAGTTTTACTCCGCAAGGGATTTTTATGTCTGTAGAAAAAGCAGTAAAAATGTGTTTGCAGGAAATGGTTTCAATACGAGATATAAAGCAATATTGTTTCACAATTTACAAGAGTAACTTCTGTACGTGATATTATATTTGATTGTAAAACGTGTGTATATGCTATTAAATTACTAAATATTGTATGAACAAAAATATCTTAAACTATAAGCAGCTTAAAATAAAGACAAATATTTTAGAAAAATTTTCCATCAACTTTTTCTGGCGGAAAATAAACGTTTACTTTTATTCTGGCGTACGTAATAACAATATACATATGCTACATACCGGAATACAAATTCCAACCGATCAACCGAAGAGCATCAAATATTTGCAATCTCCGATTGTCTCTGCCTTTTATATGCTACAATTCCTTTCTCTCTATGAATTTAGATTTTCGCTCTTTAGGTGCTTTCCTGCACATGTAGAGATGGGCTCTTATTCCACTGTTCCGTTACATTTTAAACCTGCTAAAATGCGAGCTTTTATTTTTTTAATCCAAAAGCTGCACTATTGCATTCAACTTTTACTTTCTGCATCTTCAATATCCACAAATTTGGAGTGAAAATTTCGATTTAAAGTCGTAGGTACCAGAAAATAGGCAAGGGCCCATCTCTAGATTTCGTCGGGAAACAATTTTTCCACCGTTCAGCTGGTTCTGTTCACACTACGTAGCAAATATTGCGATTACTTTTGCCCGACTCGATATTCGATTTGGCGCGTGTGACGACGTCTCTTCGCGTCTTGGCGCTCTCGCCCTCGCCCTCGGCTGGCTTATTCCGGATCCGGACTGTGCCAGGTCGAAAATTCGCTTCAAAGAACAAAATCGTCTCGGTGTATAACGTTTGATTGGATGGGAAAGGATTTGCCTGCTTCGATCGCTTGATCGGGCGCCGAATACTTCTGTTCCGATACCTTTCACCTCTTCAGCCTCTTCGCGCCCTCGCCGGGAAATCGCTGATGATCCTCCGGTGATTCGGCGTCTTGTTCGTCGGTGGGTTTTGTTGCTGTTAAACTGCTGATTTCGAAATGTACCCCCGCGGTGGAAGTTACAGCGCGCGAATCGCGTAATGAAAAGTTGGCGAAAAATCGATCGTTCTTCGAATATGATTAAATCCTCGCTTCGCCGCCCGCCGGGGAAGTTGGAACGGAAACGAGAAATATATCTATCAAAAAATTAAAACATTAAGGCTTATTAAAAGCATAAATCACATTAGCGGATGGCGTAATTACTTTCATTGATATCTTTTCTCGGAATTTTCGGAAACCCGGATTCCGCTACAATTAGAATTTCCGAGGCGTTTTCGCTTTTTGTATGCCTTCCGTTAGGCAGACAGGGGTGTACTCAACATTTTGCATCCAATATTTGTTATTTTAGAACTTACTTTATTACAAATAATTCGAATTAATTCCAGTTGAATTTCCTTATTTCTTATTTAAATAGATTCCACTTCAAAGAGAGAATCTCTTAATTAATTTTTAGTGTAATTTTGAATGCGCTCCTGTCAGTTCCATCCTTATTAGGAGCTTCCTCGGCGAGTGCTATAACATTTTTATACTACTAGAAATGAGTTACGGTCGTTAGACATTTTGCACTAGAGATGGTATATTGCATTTTTGCCTAAAGTATGCGACACGACGACCGGAATGTTTGACTAATTAAAATTTCCTGCATTTGGCACGATCGAATTCTTCCTGAATTATTCTCAGTATTATGCCCCAACTCTCATAACTGCACAATGACGATGTACAATATTCAGTTTATCTCAAAATAGCATTCGTACCAGTAAGAATAAGCAAATGCACAGAAACAAAGAAATCTGGTCCGGAAAGTAAACTAGATATGAAATAGGGTGAGTCCAGGAGACGTGAAAGGGCAGACATCATCTCCATCAATAAACGGGATGCGAAAACAACAAAGAACTTTCGCGTCAGTAATTTCGCGATGGGAAAGAGAGCGCACCAGAACGGGAATTCTAATGCCGCAATTCGCGTCTATAGTGCATTCTCGAGCGGGCATTAATTAAACCTGGTTATCTGCAAGATTCCAATTGCGGCCGTAAGGCCGCAAATATCAATTAAGGACGGCCGCACTCATAACTCGCATAACGGCGTTTCAACTTGCTAGCGTTTTGCCGACCACGACTAAAACCTGACCCATCCGTTCGCAATCAACCGGCGAAAGCTGCTCTAAGATCATTTTATGCGCTCGCCGATAAATTTTCAATTTTGGGAATTAATTTCTGATTCCACGTCTAATCTATAAGTCAAATCCTATAAAGTTCGAATACAAAGCGTACTTCTAAAATAATTTAATTATTGAAAATTAACCTTAAAGCTCGTGCATATGTTTCAATTATATTACCACTTACAAGGACCTAAATCGCATTAATAACACTAAAATAACCTATTTTAAAATAGAACTAGTACAAATTCTTTAAATGTTATAAATGAGTTCCGTTTATCTCGAAACTATCGTAAACTCAAAATGGATTGTTTTTATTGAAATAGATGGGTTTCGACTGCAGAAACGCAGATACTTTTTGTGAAACGAACCAATCCAAGCGGCAGGAATCGACTGAAAATTAACGAGCCGGTCCATCTCCTATTAATTTTCTTTATTTGCGGAATAACGCGTTGCGCGTGGACGCTTCAGAGATAACTTCTGCAAACTCGTTTGTTTAGATGTAAATAGATACAAATGCATTAAGTTGCCGCGGAGAGCCATTAGCCGAGAGCCCCGACGGTGCCCGAATTCGATCTATTTTGCCTTGACGCTCTCCGTTGTTCAAGATATTACATTGTTAATCGCCATTTTCAAGTTTACATTCCCTTTTGGATCGAATACACCACCAAACGATTCCCGAAATTTATATCCATTTGATCCCCTAAAGTTAAACAAGATTCAAAGACTGCTACACCTAAATGATTGTAATGAAAAAAACTAGGCAGGATACAAAAGAAGACTTGAAAGGTAACATTATTCATGTAAAATAAAAAAACTATGAGTCGATTTTTTTCCGTGTGCCCGATTCCAAAAACAAGATTGGATTTACACGAACATCTCGGTCAGGACGCTAATAGTATAGAAAGCTGCTCTTTGAAAGTGGATACTTTGAAAACGTTAAAAGGACGAAACCCTCGAAGAACAAGTGCAATTTCATTAGATATCTGGGATACGATTGCTGCTGTGTAGCTGAAGTGGTTTTTGTCTGGTTGGCCAATTTGTAGTAATACTAAGAGGTATACAAAACGCAGCGCTCTGAATGGGGTCAGATTACGGACTGGCTTTTGCGCTTCGAAAATTATACGGGAAAACTGGAGATGTTTTCTATTAAAAATCTTCGGTCGCCATTCAAATATCTAGATTATCAATTTTTCTACGTTTTAATTTCAACAGAAAACGCAGGAGAAATTTAAGTACCCTAATATAGAAATCAATCACGAGATTTCCCTAATAACAGGTGGCAAATGGAACTCCGATGTTTATTAGGAGGAAATGAGGCGGCATCCGTGCCTTTAAAATTAAATAAGAGCGGTTTTTCATTCGACATATGTTGATGTAGAGCTAAAAGCTTTCATCCCATTTCCGCAAGTCGGTCCAACTTATATAAGTATATTGGATTTTCTTCGGGGGGTTACATCCGATTTCTCGGGTCGCTAAAATGACAAGGGATTTCCTGCGTAGGGAGAGATCGCTAAATTCGTCTTCTTTTAAAAACAAGAAAAAAAATGTTTACTTTTCGAGCACTAGAACCTTTCCCGAGCGTTTTATTGTGTTAATTTAGAATAGTCTTGAAGAACTTATTGTGGTTAAAAAAATACTCATTAGTATGAGACATTATAGAACATTTCAAAACTGTTAAACGTTGTGCTGACATACATATTCTATACGTGCGAAAGTAGCTATAAAAAAGAAATATATATGGTACATAATCCTTATACTGGCTTCATGTTTGTATCCTTCAATTTACTCGACGACGGCAACTCGAAATTCCGGTCTCGTTGCAACAACCCTTTGTGAAACGCCTTAAAAATTTCCACCTTTTGTTTCGCGTCATGAATATTTCTATTTAATGCGCATTCGTCTTCAAGCATTTTAGTACACTCTGAAAAGTTCTCTAAAATATTGAGGAGGGGCCCAGACGAAGCGGAAAATTATTTATAAAGTCGCGAATTTCAGACCCAAAAATACACGTACAACTTTGAAAGTTTCAATTGTATGTAGAGGAGCTCGTTTTATATTGAAAACTCGATCGAGGGTCGTTATTAAGGAGAGTTAATTTGGAATTTTATAACAACTTCTTCATTAAAAAAAATCGCGTATTAATAAATTAAATAATTCATTGAGGTACTGGAAACATAACGCATGTTTGAGCACACATCCGTGATAATCACAATTCGCTCCATACCTCCTACATAGTCGAGCGACGGTTGTTCGAAATAAACTAATTACTTAGGAATTGTAAACTGTCATTTACCGTCTGCATAGTTCTCTATCGTCATGGATTCAATTAATCTCCAGTTTAATGTTCTACCGTTCGAAATAAAGTTAACGGGCCGCTCTGCAGCTCCGCATCACTGTTTAAATGTCATTAAGTTGTACCGGGTAAACCGATGATAGGGCGCAGGTGTTGATCTTGTTTGGTAGTTTAATGGAAAATAGTTCGTTGCGAACATTTATTCCATATGATGGCGATAGTATAATGAAAATTATACTCGTTATAATAACGATCTAGTTATTAAAGAAGAGGGAATTTATGAATATTTTCTATATCTTGGGAATATTTCCCTTTTATCCGAGAAAGATATTTGTTTGAAGTCGAAATTAAAATCCATAGAAAGTATTTAGATAGCAGACAATGGTTGATGTTGGGAAGAAAACAATACACCGTCTTTAAAAATAAACATTCCACAGTGCAAACTGCAATCAACGACTGCGAATTTTTCCCTCGAAAACTAAATAATTTCCAGCGCATCCACTCTGAATGCTCGACGTTCATTTTTATCCACAAATTAGATTTCTCCTCTTCTCCACGGCCCGGCGAAATCCCGCGTTGTGGCACCGCGGGGACTCATCTTGTCGAAATTATTCTCATCTCGTTCCTCTTTTAACTCGACTCGCAGCCAGTATCATTAACTACTTTGTTGTTTTACCTCTTTTATTCCAATCTCAGGAATGTTTGCTCCCGGCGCCAGATCGTTTAAGGGCTGCGTTTGAGGGGCATAAAACGGGAGCGAAACCGCCCCGCAGCCGCCGACGGGCTGATTCCACTTTTTGGGATAACTCCCCGCTAAACTGGATAACTATTTACGCTGATGGTTTCATTACCAACCAATTCGCAGGGTGGATTGTGCATAATTCGAATCATTCAAATTCGGGATAAAAGTTGGTTGAAATTTATCGATCTTATCTAGATATATGTTATAAAAATATACCTACGGTAGGGAAAAATGTTTCGCACTTACCTCGGCCGGAAAAGCGTATCCGTTAATGGAATGCTCGGATCCGAATTGGTCGTGTAGGCCGTAGTGAACGTGGATCTCTTGGAATTGATATTTATAGGACAAGGGGCCGCCGGTCACGTTTATGTGCTGCCTAGTGTCGTTCTCGACGTTGAATATTACGCTATGGCCGGTGTTCATCATCGATCCGCTCACCTGCAAGAAAACACAAGAGTTTTTCGGTCATTCGTATTCCCGACGGAAGACGGATAAAACGCCAGAAAGCCGGGCTGTTCTTTTCCTTTTCGATTATAAACACCGAGAATTCCGAATACCGACGCTCACGAAACCAGATTCCAGAATAAAGCTCCATTAACAAAATATCTAAAGCTACTATTTTGGAAGGTAATGAATAAAAATAATATGAAAATATAAATTTATCTCGCACATGATCGGTAATAATCCGTTCCGGCGATGCCGGAGCAAATAGTCGACCCTTTCCGGTTATATATCGAGTCGTATGCTGGGGATCGAGAAATGCACGTAATAATGTAATGTAAGCTCATTTATCCGCATCACGTAAAGACGCCCATCCATAATAAGGAGTCGGCGAAGCGGCAGACACATTCATACGACAGTCGGTGGCGTAATAATCTGCAATAAGCCGCAGCAATCGGAGCCATCCTGCCAATCCTCACTTCAACTCGAGAGAGCACCGCTCAAATGTACTGACATGAAGGATGGACAAAAACGTATGATGATTGCGTAGATTGGGAATGATGCTATACTTTGAGTATCTCATGAGAGAGTCGCTAATTTTGACGAGCAGTGTACTGGAAGCAATTAGGAACTAAGAAAGAGGAAACTCTACTAGATTAAGCTATAGTTAAAATTGTTCTGCGTTACCGTTGATATCGCATCCCGAAGCCCCATTTGGTTACGAACAACGGTTTTCCAGTAATTCGTATTCAAAAGTCGTTCGAGCGAAAGAAACGCTAAAATAGGGTTTTTGTTCGGGGTCACGATGTAATGGATTATGTTACGATTATATCCTAGACGTGCCGATGATGCCTGGAAATTCGAAACTGACCCCTGAACGGGATCAAAAAAGCTGCAGTTCAGGACCTGGAGGTGATTTGAAGAACTATTAGTAACGGTAACAGTTTCATTGTTTAGCGTTTGAAGGTTATCTCGATTCTAATTCTCATAGAAATTGGAGATGAATATCAAGAAACTATTTTAAATTCACCCGGCGAAGTAGAAGAATTGCACGAGGAGTTGCATTAAAGTTTTTTTCGATAAAATATACGATTCGATATTTTATTTGCTTCGAGTTTACAAAGTATAATGGCGGGTACCAATTTAGGGCGATAAAACCAAATTTAAATTTGTAATTAACCGAAAGATAAATACTCATCGCATTCCCGTGTTAACTATATATAGGTACATTTTTCCCCTTTTTCAAACGGGATTTACAAAAATGCAAAATTAGGGTCTACGCATTATACATGATTATACATGTACGTGCGACAAAATTCGTAAATAAATCCCTTCGAGTTCGTCCATTAGGTTGTGTGCCTTTGAATACGTCCGCCGGAATTTTGATCCCCGAAACATTTATTTTTAAAACCGACCGGGTTCATTACGCTGTTTATATTCCGCTTTCTAAACGTACGATTTTCCCGATTTTGTACTTTTTTTTCAACGTTGCTTTTATAATCCCACCGAGCTTGAGTACCGCTAGATAAAGCATTGTTTGTTGTAAACGTTTTGTTATCAGCCCAAACCAAATACAACTTACAAATCACACAGGCATGCATACTAACTACAATTTATAAATCTAATGAATGTAGAATAATATTACAATATTGATAAATATGTGGTGTAATTCGCTTAAAGCGTTCGAAAAACACCTGTTAAAGACGGCAAATATAGGTTATAATCCTCTTACTCTGTGTTTATCGACGTGAAGGGGCCTCAGATTCGGGTCGAATAGCAGCTTATTGGGCTCTAGATTAACGGGCGACTGTCGCCTGCCCTTGTTGCACAACGACCACTCGGGATTTATCAGACCCCAGAAGGCAGGACCTGAAATGGAAAACAAAAACGTGTTGAATCTCCTTCGATTTACTACGAAACGTAGTTTTCACAATAAAATTTAAACTAATAAACGTCCAGCATAAAACGTAATTAGCAATAAATTCCGGCAAGAAAATGAAATCGCGTTCGGTCCGCGAACCGTGAACCGTTTAAAAATCAATGAATAATTGAACAGGAATCCGCTTAAAAGAACTTTCCAACCGATTCCGACGAATATAGGTATAACGGGACTGCGAAAGTGCCATAATTCACGTCGCCCAGGAGGCGGTGTGTGTCGGTCCAGTTTAACACTCGGCTCCGCTACGGCTTAATATTATTCGGCACGTGCATAAAACCGGGCGGAATCGGCGGCCGTATCGGCGGTAATTCAAAAGTTTAGTACCAGAGGTGTGGCCGGAGTGTGTTATGAGTATATCGCGTGTTCATCAATGCGAATAGCGGGGAACCGCGGCCGTCACGGCGGACTTAACGCGTCGCGTCGCGACGCGACGCCTTCCCTTTTTTTTCCACGCGTACATGTACTCGCGTTGGTGTAAATGAACGGAAATTCGAAAAGAACCAAACGGTGGAATAACGATGTAAAGCTGTTAAATTTATAAAAAACACCAAGGGAATGTAGGTCTAAAAAAAGTTAAATTGTATCATACATGTTAAGTCTAAATAAATTTTTATATCCTCAAATCAAAACACACTAAATCGTCTTTAAAAAAGCATTATTTTCAATGATTACCACCGGTTAAAATTTATCCGTTTAGGTACTTGTACCTCGAAATATTTTTCTCGTTTATTATAGGGCAACGGAATGGGGAATTCGCCTTTGAAATCTTTATATTCGGCCGTAATTTCAAGGCGATGTTAATTAATTTTAATAAAGTAGGTAAACAGCATTTAATAAGGATCTCGTCGAAAAAGTAATTGGATTTTTTGATTAATTAGCTACATTCTGCCTAACAATGTTTTCCAGTTGTGCCTATAAAATAAGACGTAACTTCGATATCTATTAGGGGAATATTGGCTTCAGTAAATTAAATTAAATTCATAAAAAATCGTTTGTTGTAATTTATCATAATAGGCGATTTTAAATAAGAAAACATTCATTGTCTGAAAACAGAGTAAATAATTTAGCATGTAAAAAAAGCACTTAAGAGAAGCGTAACACCTAATACACAAAGCTGTAAATATGTCCGAAAGTACACAGTGCTATCAGTTTCCAGGAGCACTTTAGCACGCTCGAAAACCCATTAGAGGTTTTTGCGGCGAGCAGGTGAAGTTAAGGATGCCGGTAGACCTTCTCCAGTGGATAGATTGACCTGGGGGCCGCTTTTTATCCGCAGCTGGAATTTTCTCACACTCCGCCACCAGCCCAATGCATAGGAAATGGGAAATATTACATATTGAACGTTCGGATGTGAGTTTGCTCTGCTCCTGCTTCTGCTTCTGCTCTTATAGAAACGGCGGTTTTTCCTTTTGTGATTGATTGCGTTTTTAGCTTCGAGGTACGGTTTAAATCAAAAGGGAACGGGAACTTTTGTTTGTTTAAAAATAGATTATTTTGTACCGAAAAAACTAACTAAATTTTCTTCTAGTCTTAATGCACACAAATGTACAATGATAAATTCCGGATACATCCTGAACAATCGTATCGATTTCTAAATGTACCAAAATATGTATTGAACCGTATAGTCTTTGTAATGCTATAATTACATTTCCTCTTTACCTTACAAATTTAATTTATCGAATTGACTTCCCCTTTCGGAATATAATTCAATTCTTGCCGTTTAAGTTTCGGTTAAAAGGGTTGTTTTTACCTCTAAAAACCCCAAGCGAGTAATACTAAATTAGATACTAACTTAGAAACGAGAGATCGCTGATATAGTCATTATTAACAAGAATATGATAAAATTTCGAAATAATTACGATATGAATAGAGCCGTGTAATATGATTTAGATTTTTCCCATTACTTAAATTAACAGGAAGAGAGAAAACGTGGTACACAGTCACACCAAAAGCAGCCGTCCTTTGAATATTAAAGGGCGTACAAATTAATACCGGTAATAGTGCGCTTTGAAAACGGCGTGTGGTAATATTAGTTAATTAGTCGGTTGTTTACAAGTCATTATTTGGTACCGAGAATTACGTAGGAGGGTATCGAACTGTTGCAGAAGTGCGCTCGATATGCCCAAGTAAAAAGAAGGTAATTATAATTTTAATCAAAATGACTATAACCAGCAATTTTCAACTAATACTCCTCGATATTGTACACCTATCTACTTAAACGGATGTCAACGAAATTTAATTAATTTAACGTCGGGGTAATTCATTAGTTAAATAATGTATAATGGAGTATTAATAAAATATAATCATCTAATGAATTTAACCCAGTTTTTTATTGTTTACTATATTCTTTACTAGTATCTACAAACATTCAAAAATGAAGAATAATAATAAATTAATGCCTCTGTTAAAAAACCACTCTTCGCGAGCCATAAATAATGAACTAAAAGAGGTTACTCAACTCGAAGTTCGAATCTAATTTATGCATTGCCATAATTATGCACTTAACTCTAAACTTCTAATGATCGAAAAATCAAACTCGGCGCGAAACACAGAAAACACAGAGTCGTTAAACTCGATCACGTAAAGCAGCTCTCGAAGCAATTAACTACGTTTGAGCCGGTTTTAAAGCTCAAAACAGATAAGCCCACCCGCGTAACATTGTTTGTTCTTTCGATGTTTATGGGCGCCCAATTAACCTTATACGACCCGCCCGATTTCTCCGATATTTCTATAGACTTATTATTGATATTTCCAGAATAATTATTCGAAGAGAACTTTTGAACTAATGAAAAAGTAATTAAAAAACCCACCTGTACATTTATTGAAGGCTAACGTATCATACAATTAGTTAAATAATTTAAATAATGATTACATTAATTTTCGGTTTTCTAATATTCTCGCTGTAGCACGTTCTAAGGGACTATATTTTAACAATGTTTGCTCTTTCAGCGTTTACGTCTACCTCAATTAATCTTAATAGTTCAGCTTGGATAGGTAACGGAAACTTTAATGGGAATCCATATTGGCCGTAGTGGCATCGAGGATAATTCCCTCTATTGCAGGTGCTAATTCGAAGCGGAATAAAGGATCAAAGGGCCGCGATCGTCTTCGACAGGATCGGATTTCGAATCCGCTAATCCGATCTACCTTAACGGATGAGGACGTAATGAAGTTTTATACTGGTTGTGATTGAAAAAATTCCAACAAATAAACCTCTCAAGATAGTTTATCCGACGAACTATTGCCGGTTGCATCTCGCGATAAATCTGCGGGATAACCGGAGAAATAAAAATGTCTGGGGATATATATGCAGACGATGCGATGGCAAAACGAAAGATTTGCAATCAAATCAAAGGCAAGTGAATGAGTGGGCAATATAAAATCGAACGTTGCGATGTATATCACTACATGGGAAGGCAAGAAAGATGATGCAATTTCTGAGAAAAATATTCTAGTGTTTTCGTGATCGTTTATTTTATTGTCGTTTTTCTTTAGATATGTCGATGCTTCGATGCATCGCCAGGATAAAATATATTTTATTGAGCGGATAAATAGTTAAACCCATATTCCCTATACCATTTTATTGGTATATAGTTATAATACATCAAACAATAAAAATATCGAGCAGTAAATTTTATTTTCATTGTGGAAATCTCAATAAATTCAGTGAATCCGTTCATTACAAGAATTAAGCTCCAGTTACTCATTCTAAATTTAGACTATTATCCTGCTGCATAACATGAATGCGAAAGGAAAGCAGGATATCCCTTATACATACTTAATAAATTCAATTTACATAACTGTTGCATGTCTGAGCGAAATCAGATTAAATTCACCGCCATATCTGCGATTTAAAGTAAAATTAGAACGATCCTGCAACAGCAGGAATCGAACGGTTGATAGTTGGAATAAACTGGTACACATTTAAAAAAATATATCGAGCGTCCGTGCGAAAACTTTCAACGAACATCACAGTATCAAAAAAGCGCACACCAATTTAAAAATATTGATTGGAATTTAAAATAAATCGAATGTTTGCGAGTTAATATGATCAGCGAAGTAAAAGCTAATTTCGGTATTGTTTGCGTTTCGAAAATAATTTTTCGCGATTCATTTGTAATAAAATTCACCCTAAAATTATGGAATTTCGTTTACATTTCCACAAAAGTCAATGTTAACAAAGCAGCAAAAAAAACAAATTATGTCTATTCACTGAAAGAGATCCGAACAAAGCGAGATAAAAGTTTGCCCAATTAGACGTGTGGTTTTCATAAAAACGTTTCGATCGTTGACTAGCGAATCATCCCATTCGCATACAAACGCATTTGATGCTATTGACATGAAACGAAAAATCCCCGGCTCATTGTTTAAACGTTTTGACCCGGTGTCGTTTTTGCATTTAAATTATTAGGTACTAAAAATATACCTCTAAAAAATATATAGAAACGAGCGAATTTCGTAACGCCACTGGCCGGCCGTTCGGCACGTCGAAGGGCACAGCACAGATATTAAGCAAAAAGAAAGTTGAGCCTTTTGCTGTAATGATATTTCTTTTTATCAGTTCGGTCGGCGTAATGTTCGAAGACGGGAGCCCCGGCTGCGTCCTCTCGAACTTTCCATGCCCTTTCCAACAAATGTTGCTCCGACACGAACGCCAGGCTAATTGCGGGAAAACGTGATAATTCGGAAAATTTCGCATGAGACCAGGAATCGCCGATTTCGGACCATGTCCGCTATCAAATTATCTCCTCTCTAACATCTACTACCTGATACAATACATATCAAATAATTAAGTATCTCACTTTGTTCACTACTGTTTTTTTTATATAAAGTTTGGTTGAGTTTATTCGTTTGCGACGTCAGCGCGAAGTTAGCATGTACATAATTATATTTTTATAATTTCTATGAATAGTCTCTGTTAATTACGAAG